TAGACCTGTGTCGGTCAATCATTTTTGATTTTTGATAACCCGGGTCGATCATGACCCATGCGTAATGTGATCGGGTCAAGTGAAACGATCATATGTTCGATCTTTTAGCCGGTCACCCGTCGCTCACAATACTTCCATGTGGCGTTTAAAAGTGTAAAATTATACAATTAATTTTTATTCTGATGGGTAATGTGTATAAAGTTAATGCATCATTGATAAACCACACTTAGGACGCTGAAAATTCTTTCCAGGAAAAGTAACACCTACTAAACAAAAATACATAACAAAAAACTTATGAGAATTCAAAATTATTAATTTATTGTTAATTATTATTTTAATATTAGCTACTCATAAATAAACACAACATTTGTATGTTGAAAACAGTTTAAACTTACAAAATTACCACATAATGGACTCTACGCCACGGAACAATTAGGATTAATGATTGATAGACTCATTGATCCGTTAACGCGTTGACTCGTTGATCGATTGTTTGACTTTTTGGTTCTATCGAACGAATGCTCTATCAAACAAATGTTCGACCCAAACGAAGAGTGAGAAGGCGAACCGTGTCGTGAGTGGGAACTTCACGTGAGAGTGAACGAGACAGCAATAATATTGTGAATTGTTGAATAATCTCTAAAATTATAACGATAAAGTCGAATATCATGACTCATGAAACTCTAAAATGATCGGGTTATTTAGAAGCTAGTATAGGATAACCCGGGTTATCGGGTCACAGGTGCTGTTCGAATCATGTTGATCTGATCGATCACGATCGACACACGTCTAGTTAACACCATATTTGCGCTGATAGTCTCAAATAAGAATAGTCTTTTATGCAATCGTTGCATAATGAGGGTTCTTATGGTCGTATTCCAGAACTCTATTCAATGCTCAAGTCAGGTTTTGAGCAGACTTGAGTATGATTTCAAGCACTGGAAATACGACCCTAATGTCAAGGACTTGAGTATGATTTTCAGTGCTCACTGCAATACTCAAGTCCTGACTTGAGTATTGAGTCGGGTTCTGGAATACGACCCTTAGACAACGAGTACCGTGTTTAAGCTTCGAGATTTTGCCGAGTGACCTAAGTAATAGATACAAAATTTTAAGACCTAACTATGTAATTATTGCATAGAATAATTTTTTGCACGAGTACCAATATTTAATGTATATTTTGTTAACAATCCATGTCAACAAACGCAATTTTTTTTAAATAAATTATAAGTCATTTAGTAGGGTAGGTAAAGGTTCCACCATACAGCCTCTTCATATATTTAAAACGAAAGCCATACAAACGCTACAAAATAAAAATCCAAAGAAGTAGACTAGAAGTGGCCAAGTACCCAAATATTTTAACCAATCATTATTTATAGCCCGGTTGCAAGATTTTTAAGCCAATTTAACCAATCAGGAGTCGAGTTCGAGTAGCGTCCTAATAGATATTTTAATTAAAAAAATACGATGTTCTTTTTTTGAAACTTATTATAGTATTGTGTACAGTACTATAATACTCATTATAGTTCTGTGTACAAAACTGTAATGAAATTTTTCATCAGATTCGCTCTGGACCTTTTGGAGGGAAAAGTGTCGTTTTTATTTTGACTTTCAATTATTTTGTGAAATTAGTTTAAAGTGGAATAGGATAGGGCTACTGTGCCTTAATCGAAGATTAAAACGCGAATTTATACGCATCTCGAACTAAAATACCCGTGTTGGCCCGTTTTAAGGAAACCCGAGTCAATCCAAGCACACCGCCTCAAATTGCCTATACTCTTTGTGGTGGCCATATTTACAGAAACATAATTAAACTTCACGTTTAGGCTGATGGCTTTGCCAAAGCCTTAAAAATTTAAAAAAAAATGAAAATTTTCAGCTATATCATAGAAAATATTATTTTGATTCTTTATCTTTATGATATGGTTTATGAAATTATAATTGACAGATTAAGGCACAGGAGTAGAAAATGGTGTTTTTTTAATACTCTATTAAAGATGCTGAACCACATCCCCTTCGGATGCCGTGTGTAACGCTTTAAGTTTAGTACTACGGAATTTAATTAAGTTTTTTTTTGTAAAATTCTGTTTACGCTACGTCAAGGTATAATATTTTAAAATCGACTATAAGGGACATCGCCCCATACAATGTGTTCTGACAGTCTTACACTTTAATGTAGATATTTATAATTAAGTAATTCCTAGGACGAATTCGTTCTAGATTAATTCTAAAGAATCATTATATTTTACGTAATAGTTTAGAATATTTTGAAGGTTCGAATTGATAATAGTTTTCATAGGAAATTTGTGCATAACGATAATTTGTCCTGTTCATTTCCGTAAGAAAGCAATAAACAATTCAAATTGGTCAATCAGAAGGCTGTTTTTTAACTCTTCGTTTATTTTGGGCAGGTTTTCTTAACCTGTGGTCCACGGACCCCTAATGAACGCTGGAGGTCCACGGTGGGTCTACCTAACATAAAAAATGCATTATATAAAATTGGTATACAATATGTTGTGGTTAAATAGGTACTGTGCGCGTAACATTAGTGGGCTCTTTGAAATTTTGAGAGGGGTCCGTGACTGTATTGATAATTATTGAATAAGTCAGCCCAATTAAAAAATACACATAAAAATCACTTAATAGAGTCCATACAATAAAAAACACTAGCTAACCAAACTTGTATACAAAATCTCCACGGCACTACTTGTTAGCTCAGTTAAAACGGATTAAAACCACCCAACATTGAATACAGGGCTGAGCTATAATATCACGTATATACGTTGTAAACTGATTAATCACACAATTTCTAACTTTCGCAAGCGTAGTTGTTACGTTTTCTCTATGCATTAACGTCTAAATAATAATACTTCGGTAGAACACGTATAGTATATGATATACATTTTTGAAATGGCTTTGATTTCGTTTGTAAAAAAATAGATTCTGAAATAAAGCCAGTGTCCCTCCCGTTCGACTCGCGTAATAGAACCGATTCAGTACGGGAAAAATTTTAATTCCAGCTGAGGTTAAAGAAACTTAAAGAGAGTAATTGCGTACTCGTAAATCGTTATCTGTTTCTGCTAGATGTGTCTCCATACAATGTTACTATTGTTATGCACCATTTTCCCTTTTATTGTTTCTTTAGTGTAATATATATTGAAATTTTTTTGGATGTGTCTTGTGTACGTGTGTATAAAATATTTTTTCCGTTTTATTTTCTCCATGACTGCTTGCATCGACAGAGTACAAATAATAGTCGTTTGTCTAATAAATTACTTGCCAAAGTTAGTGTCATTATTGTATAGTCAAGAATAAAAGTGTAAATTAAAAAAAAAATTAATACCTTGGATTCAAGCCATTCAGTCAAAATATTATAATAAATATTAGTAAAACTAGATTCATTTTCTCTACAGTATTTGTTCTGAATTTAAAAATAAGATTGAAATTCCGGCTAATCTGTACTGTTTCTTCCAAAACCGAGTAAAGGGTTGGCAACTTACAATCAAGTAGTGATTGTAGTTGATATATATTCTATCGACTATCTACCGGTGCCGGCGTTACCTATGATGCAGTCTCCAAAAAACCTGCGTCCCTCTCGCGTCGCAACCGAAGTCAACGAGCTATTGCTTCCTAATAACATTTTATAATTGCGCCATTTGCACCCGAATTTCCTATCACTGGGGAAAATATAACTAAGTATTCCAATTTAATCGCATGGCTACTAGAGGGCACCAGGGTATTGATTACATACGCTAGCGACGGTGCTGCTATCGGCTGATTATTGGTTTCGCTTACGCAGTATATGGCCGATATTGTTTTATTTCAATACAAATTAAGATTCATAAAACTTATAAAAAAAAAAATATAATAAAAGTAGACGTCGTGTCTTAGTACTACACGAATTGATTTCGATACCAATAGGCCAACTGACAAAATAATAACAAAGTGACCTAGAATGCAATTATTAATCAGAACGTCATAAAATTCACTATTGATGAATTTAGCACAATTTTATCTCCTTTCACAATCTATCGATAAAACTGTCGACAACAACTACACGACTATTTAAAATTTTGCAAACGTCTTTTTACTAAGTTTAGGAAAAAAAAAATTATAAACTGCTGTTTCTTCTACCTGTCAAAATTTCTAGACGTAAAGGACCTTAAGTAGCAACTATTAAGTAATTTGTGCTTAAGTCCATATTTTCGAGGTTTATGTATTTTTAATAACATTGCTTTAAAAAATCACGCAATGCTAAACAAGTCCTATCGTCGTTTGTTTTTTATTTAACCTATTTTATTTGATCTTGAGGTTGAGTTTAAACGCTCTATAGTAAAAAAATATTATTTGACACTTGAAGGTTCTTTACCTCTCACGTACAAATTTTGTGTGATGCCGTTTAAATCGTATCTCTGTTAATATACTAGGCGTACCTTTTCAATTTGGCAGTTTGACGCAAATTGAAGATTCATGGGGAGAACGGGCACTATAGTTCTTGACTGTACTATTATTTACGTTTTTTTTGTACATTTCTTGTTCCAAATATTATACTGTTTAAAATAACACCCTTGCTCTTATTAATCATATTTTTACGCTACCACCGAATATATTTGTTATGTCAATTTATTTCTATCATCGCCATCGATTCGAGTCAATGCTTTTTTTGTTTAATAAGGGTTTTAAATGCGCTATTCAACATGCAGGCCTACAGAAAGAGATAAAGCTACAAATTTAATATATCAATGTTGAAATTGACTGTTCTGTTGCCTGTCTTTTTCAATCATTTGTTTAGAATAAAGTGGCTTCTAGTGACAACACTGAAGTCTATACATATAATACACTCACATTGTAACATTGTTCAGTTTTATACTGCCTAATTTATTTGGTGAATGTTTTTCCGTATCTTTATTTTTATATTTAATTAGACTTTCTAGAATAGCGGCTTGTGTCAAAACGCCTCTATCATCAGTAAAAGACTGTTTAAATAAACTCGAGGTGTATTTGGCGCGATATACTGGCGCTTTGTTTGTCACATGATTACAATCGGAAAACTTGGTGTCATGTTCACAATAAAATTTATTACATACTGAATACAGCTGTGGAATAATAAGTAATAAACATAACAACTTTGGTTTAACCCACTATTCTTGACAAGCAACGATATGTCGATCAACATTCAGGATAGTCTGATGAATGTCGCATTTAATTATTGAACAATCTGCCTTTATAAATTAAATTATATTTTAATATGGGTTTAGGAAGCAATACAATTTTTTTCTTTTAGACTTATTTTGTAATATTGCCTTGCTCAAAATACAAAGACAAAGTTTAGTATTTAAGATCAATTTTAACTTAACAATGTCTTTAATTAGAATTTAAGAACAAATGTAAGGCTATTGGGCGTTTCGAATGGTAAAAACTTCAAAATACAATAAGAATTTACATTCTGGATTCTCGAAGGAACCTTTATGATGATATTTTCTATAACAGTAAACTGATGCCCCCTCTACACGACGGCCCATCGTGTAGAGGACGTAGTGGCGTAGTGGCAGCCACGATGGCCTGTGATGGCGCGTGATTGCTTTGTTGTCGGTGTCCCGGGCGCTCATCAAAGGATAGTGGCACGTAGATTGGCGCACCCTCCAAACGGTGGCCCATTATTCAGTTTTTTATTTTAAAAAACTTACAAACCTTGTTATGTTACGGTGGATCGTCAACATCCACCACCTTTTGCGATATTTTATTTTAATAATTTGGTTCTGGTGCACACTTATATAATATTTGTACGTAGTAAATAAATAAATTGCCGCCGCTGCAGTTAATTCCACGTACATCTTCGCGCTCGACAATCCGACGAATGAACACATCCAACATGTGGATGACGCCACGACAATGGCGGCCACTATTTGCCATCGAGATGCCCATCGCGTAGAGGGGGCATGGCAGTCAGCCCGCGACCACGGCCAGTGCAACCTGGCCGAAAAGTCGGGGAAATACGTAGGTGTGAAAATACCTATTAGTATTTAAACGCGTTAATTCCCGTTTTCAAATGTTAGCACATGAGACTTGTCGAGTTTACGTGTCAGGGTGACAGACGGAGTGGTAGTTCCGCTCAGTAGCACGATACGACGCGACTAGCTCGAGATACTGCTGTTCTCACATAGAGATCTCGCGCTTTATGTTGTGCTCACGCGTCGCATCGTGCTAGCCCTACACAGGTCTGCAATTTAAAACTCTGAGTGGCACTCAGTGGCGAGGCGTCAAAATTGTCGTTAGTAAAGCCGGAGCAAAACAAAAAACAGCTAACTTAAGAAAAAGTGGTAAGGCAAGCCGGCGAAAATCGAGTTATATTGGAGCCTCGCCGCTGGTGGCACTGCAACAACGTACCACTTCGTACACTTCATAGATAATTTCCAACATTTCTATTTACTTTATTTAGATACGAATAAAAGAAAAACTGATGGACTTTTAAAAACGAAGAGGAAGATACGTATTTAGATTCAGAAAGTTCATAATAGTACCTACTTAGTTTACAAGAAATTATTATTCACCGTCATTGTAAGTCAATGCACCATCACTACAAATTGGTACATTTTTGCCACATAGAAATAGATACAACTATTGTGCGTTTGATAATTTCTGCATAATTACGTCCAATTTATCTTACCGTCGAAACGCATTATTAAGGGCAATTTTGAGCAATTTAATTTAGGCTAAATATAGTTTAAAAATGTTGTTTTCTAGTGTAAGTAAATGAAAATGTCTTCTATAGAATGTGAAGTGTGAGTTTTAATAAAAAAATATTTTTAATAAATGCGTTGTTTAATTTATCATTTGTTTAGTAAGAAGTCTTCTATTTGTTACTTTACGAACTTTGCTTCTGGCGCCACGAACGTTTTTTTGCTGATCAGGTTAATTATGCTACAAATATCTATACTTAATTATGATATTCATTCCCTAGTTTGCCACCCTTAGAGGTGGAATATTTTTATCAAATTTAAATGGGACCACTTCACCACTTCCAACAAAAAAAAATCAAAATCGGTTCACAAAGTTATCGCGTAACATGCATACAAAAAAACACGCAGTCGAATTGAGAACCTCCTCCTTCTTTTAAAGTCGGTTAAAAATTTGTAGCAGTAATTTATTTTTCAACACATTTGCTCGTAACGGGCTTCTTATTGTATCGCTTTTAGGCTCAAACCTAGCTATTGAACACGCGTTTGTAATTATATTACAAAACGTGTGTGTAATAAGTATAGGCTTAACCGGATTAAGATGTATCTCACAACAAGGCCTATGTATTAAAACTATGCATTCTTAAATTATCCGGGTTATGTCTTTGAAATTAACTTGGTCTATTAAAAAAAACAGCTCTAACCTACATATTATAAGATTCAAATTACAATGACAGTAATCCCAAACAAACAGGGTCACAGTTTTTTTTTTATTTCTGTTTAATACGGTTGTGTAGTCTTACCTTACAAATAATATTTTTATTAATAAATTTATATTTCTTATTTGATGAGATAAATATAGAAAAACATACACAATATACACCTATAAAACTTTAATTGAATAAAATTACTTATTTTGGATAATATTTTACACGAATTTGAGTGAAATAAGGACATATTTATATTATTTCGCATTGGCTGTTTAGGAATTTCACCTAAGTCTCATTATTGCCGAAGCACCTGCGCGCGCATATCCGCGCCGCGGCGCCAGGCGCAGAAAAAATAACTCTGCGCGCCAATTTCCATTGATACGTTCGAAACATTTATATACGCTGTGTGTTAGATAATTACCTAGGTGTTTAAAATGTCCTGCTCAAGCACGGAAGAAAACTTTTTGATGGATTTAACACCGCCCGAAATCCTCACAGAGGCACAAAACGCAAGTGACAGTTTATTACCTTCGAAATCCAGAGAAAAATACATGGCTGCATATGAAACTTTTATACAATGGAAAACCAACAAAAAAGCGTCTTCGTTTTCAGAAAATGTTTTTCTTGCCTATTTTAATGAACTGGCGAATAGGTTTAAGCCCAGCTCGCTCTGGTGCATTTATTCTATGTTAAAGACCACAGTAAAGAACAAGAATAACATAGACATAAAAAACTATTCAAATCTGACGGCATTTTTAAAGAGACGCTCTGATGGGTATGTTGCAAGAAAATCGAAGGTACTTTCGCCAACTGACGTCGAAAAGTTTTTAAAAGAAGCCCCCGATTATCAGTATTTAGCAACAAAGGTCAGTTGATCGTATTAAACCTTAATTTTTTTATGTTTTCATTTTTCTTGTATTATATTTGCGAAAATACCTATATTTTTAATTTCTTTACAGGTTGCAATGATATTTGGTGTCACTGGCGCGTGTAGACGCCAAGAACTAAGCGAAGTAACGGCAAAAGACGTAGAAACTCATGGCCAAATGCTTTTGATTAAAATTAACAACACTAAAAATAAGGTACCTACCGAGATCGTTTGCCATTCACGGTCCATTTTACGACATAGTAAAAAAGTACGAAGCGCTTAGGACAGATAAGGCAAAATCCGATCGGTTTTTTCAAAACTACCAGAAGGGTAGATGCGTGGCTCAGCCAATAGGCATTAATAAATTTGGTGCAATGCCTAAAGAAATTGCCAAGTTTTTAAATCTACCCGACCCGGATTTATACACTGGGCATAGTTTCCGAAGAACATCAGCTACATTGCTAGCTGACTCGGGAGCTGATTTGCTTACTTTAAAGCGTCATGGTGGCTGGCGATCTAGCACAGTTGCTGAGTCTTATGTTGAAGATTCAGTTCGAAATAAGTCCAACATATGTACTCAAATAACCCACGCTATAAATCTGGAGCCCCAGGTTAAGAAGATGTGTCCTGAACCGCAGCCATCCACCTCCCGTGATACAAGTTATTTGTTACCTAGGTTGTCTATTTCTGAGTCTTTAAATGAACCACCACCACTTTCATCCATATTTGTACACAATGAACCCGTATCACCGACTTTTACGCAAGAAGACAATAATGAAATAGTAACAAATAATATCACACAGACGGTTCAAATGCCTAACAAAACTGCACGTTACCATTTTGAAAATTGTACATTTAACAATTGTTTTAATAATTAAATTTAAATAACTACATTTTTGATAAAATCAAGATACAATGACTTTGATAGGCTTTGGAGACTCTTAATTAATTGCTATTGATAGATATAGTATAGAATAGAATAATATTATTTACATTAACGTGAGCTTAATATAGTATTCAGTGTATCTGTATAATTAATGCCAAATAAAGCTATTTTTCATTTCCATTTTACTCAAGTTTGTTTCATTTTCCTCGCAAATGTGTTGAAAAACGTCGTATGAAACACGTGTGCTTTGATCATTACACTCTCGGCTTGCGGCTCGCGCGAGTAATAACGCCTCGTGTGTAATGACCAACTTAGCACACTTGTATCATAATGTACTATTTAAAATTACGACCAATCATTTTATCAAGATTTTATAGTACCTATTTCAAAATATGAATGTGTGTGTTCTCATAGTAATTGAGATTTAACGAATGTCATATTAAAAGTATGGGAGCACTTAACGTTATAATTTTGGGTGTTAATAATTTTCTTTTTAAAAAGTTATTGATGTCGTTTTACTCATTAGGTAACATACTTTGGATATCAGTTTAAAGGTTTTTAATGTCACTTATATCGACGGAATAATCGCCTGGGCACACTTAACGATTACACCCTGTATATATACAGGGTTGTACTAATAACCTCGCAGGACCAGGCTTAGTAGCAGTAGAGCTCCTTGTGGAAGAGTTTGTCCAGGGTAGTACTGCCACCTTACCTATTCTGCTGCCAAGCAGTAATGTCAGCATTACTGTGTTCCGGTTTTGCGGGTAAGGGTGCTGGTGAAATTACAGGCACATGGGACTTGTCAACTTATGTCTCAGGGTGACGGGCGTAGTGGTAGTGCCCTTTTGATCTTTGCAATTTAAATCTCTGAGTGGCACTGCAACTGTTATGGACAGGCGTGTAGTTTACCATCACGCGCACGACTTGTTCGCCCCGTCGCTTGATGTTATTAAAAAAAATCATCATGACATTTGAAAAGCGTGAAAAGTAATTTAAATGTGTAAACGGTAAAAATTTAGAGAAAAGTAGTTTCCTAGGAATAGAAATTGACTCACATATTGATTGGAAATCACATGTACAAAAAATTAAGATGAAAATGTCCCAATTCACCTACGCTTTACACGAATTAAAATGTGTCATAAATTTAAAAACAGCTTTATCAGTCTATTACGGGTGCGTTTGCATGGTTAAATTACGGCTTGATGCTATGGGGAAACAGTACCTAGGCGAATAATGTCTTTATTCTACAAAAAAAGTGTGTACGTATCATCACGAATATCAAACAGATGGAATCTTGTCGACCACATTTTAAAAAATTACAAATATCAACCCTACCTTCTATGTACATATTTGAAATGGCTAAATTTATTAGAAAAAATAGTGAACTATTCATTAGTGCTGTACCCACTTCGATAGACCGTCTAGATATAAGCAAGCATCTATCAGAATAGTCCGTATTATAATGCGATAAAGATTCACAGTAAACTACCCGAATACTTAAGATGTGAGACAAATTCCAAAAATTTCACTAAAAAACTAAAAGTATTATTAATTGACAAGTGCTATTATAACTTAAATGAATTTTATATTGACAAACTTGCGTAGTTTTTGGTTAAATTATGTTGTTATGTTGTTTTATGTATTTGACGAAGGCTGATGATGAATAATTGACATGTTATTTTAGTCTAATTTGTATTTTTATTATTATATTATTATTCTATTTTGTAATGTGTGAACAATAATGTAAGACAAAATGTGGCAACTAAGTGCCATACTCCTGCGTGGTGTCATAGCAATAAGTACTAACTTAATGGAACGTGTCTTGTTATGACTTGCATTTGAAATAAATAAATAAATATAAATCTGAACGATACATACGCGTCGAGAGCACCAACAAACATCGGGCCGTTTGATTTAGCAGCACCTAATATGTATATTATAAAATCGTCGCGGTCGGTTGGCAGCACTGGCAGAGACGCTCCCATCGAGTATACTCGATGGACGCTCCTAACAATTACTATTAGTCTTAGGTTAGGTACTAGGCCAGCTTGACTGTTAAGATTAAAATTCCACTCTGTGACGGTGTGACCTCCTTACACCGTCATCTTACCTCTTTGAAACGCCTCTCTCCTCTTGTATCTTATCTTTTTTTTTTTATTTTACTTGTATTTAAATTTTAAATTTGAATTGTTCCATCTTCCTTCACTTTCTCATTTTGTTTTCGTACCACGGTCACTTCCAGCTCGACCGCCACAACAGTCAGAGCTGTTAATGAGCTAATCATGTGTAATAATTTATAAGTCTACTTCCTTCATGTGTCTATTTCTGTAATTCAGTTTCTCGGCCCATTTAGGGCCTTTTCTTTAAACTTTACTTCTTTAATAAATTTTGTGGACCGGAAGTTTCCCATTTCATTGCCGTGAACCTGTTCACGGCTAGTTAGGGTTACAACCCTTTCAACTCTATGCCGTTATGATAAGAACTGTCTAACTAAAGTGTCAACCTTGATTCGATTTTGACCTTGCACATATCATTAGGACTTTTTATATGAAATTAATTTTGCTTTACTTAAATTCTTGGTCAAGTACAGTTGTTAGTCTATGTACAGTTAAAAATTCTCCATACCGTCTCAGATAACAAGAAAGCACTGTATGATTTAATTATAAATTTAGATTTTATGTAATAGGCATTGACTTACAATTATATGGACGTCGGGTCCGCGCTAAAAAGTGTCCGCACTTGTAAGGCGCTAAAATCGTATACAGAGCGCGACACTCCGCTTTAGTCTTCATTTGTTCGACTGATAGCGCGATACTGCGATGACATTGCAATTTAAATTTCGAATAGGTTGACTTGGGACATTTTTTTCGTGGTTTTTGTATTAGACCCGTCGTCCATTTATTTGTAAGTCAATGGTAATAGGCATCTAATTGAATTTTTGCCTGACTTTTTATTACTGAAGATCAACTGAACTTGCAAGTCATTTCTCGAGATTTTAACTAATACAAGAGATATCGAATTCTTAGGTTTGGGAAATTGTAAATAAAACTACTTTTTCAGATAGGAAATGAAACTTTTTTTTCCGGATTTCAATCGCGTGTGTTTGTTGTTATTTCAAACAAACTAAGGTTTCGGACCTTTTACAAGTCCCATGGTCATGGTTGACACTTTTTCAGATTTATATCGTCAGTCAGCCGTGACCACGCGACCTGTATTGAGCCCGAAACGGTTGGTTTATTTGAAAAACAAATATACGCGATTTACATTTATTTTATTTTATAATATCAAGTGACAGCACGAAGAAGTCGTGCGCCTGGTGGTAAGGTACACGCCTGTCCATAACAGCTGCAGTGCCACTCAGAGCTTTACATCACAAAGATCTGAGGAGTACTGCCACTGCGCCCGTCACCTTGAGACGTAAGTTGACAAGTCCCATGTGCCTGTAATTTCACCAGCACCCTTACCCCTCAAAACCGGAACACAGTAACGCTCACATTACTGCTTGACGGCAGAAATAGGTAAGGTGGCAGTACTTCCCTGGATGAACTCTTTTACAAGGGACTCTAATGCTACTGACAAAAAAAATAATTTCAATTTCCTATACTAAAAAGTGAAGTCAATGTTTTTTATTGCAAATTTATTATAGGCATGTAATTTGCAAAGCGCCATTAGTTCGACGTCATCGCGTCACACAGGTTTATTTGTAAAATCGTAATAACCTCGCAGACCCACATATATTACTACCTTCTTAGAATAATAACGCATAGAATGATAGTTTCATATCAAACGAACTGTCACAAGTGAGGCAAAAATCAATTCATGTAGGCTAGTTTTAGTAGTAGGTTAATTTTCGGTTTTAGTGAATATTTATGTAAAAATACAAGTTGAAACGCGTTACTTCCTTGTGGAATGTGATGTTAGTATCTATTTTATGTTTGTCTGACGTATTTTTACACTCATTTACAGCACATTTCGTCATTTTTAGCTAAAATTCTTGATCTGTTCGCGGTGCAAGTTGACCTTGAGCACTGAAGGCCCGCCCGCTCGTGTAGGCCCATTGGGCGCGCTTTAATTTGCCTCACTTAGCGTGTGCGGACTCGGTTTCTATGCGTTATTATTCTAAGACTACCTTCATAAACAACAACTTTTCCATTGCTTTATTAGATTTATCAGATTTTACATTCACGCCATCACAACGTATACTAAAAAAAACAGTCTAATTTAATAACCTCCTTTTTGAAGTCGGTTAAAAAAGTATAGTATTATCAGTTTAAGTATAAGAATGTGACAACTCGACGCGCTGAATTTAAAGGTAAGTAATTTATATCCAGTATAATTTAAGAATTATAAATAATTACAGATTTCAAGTACGTACGAGATTTCCTTATAACCCATTTGATAGATATGGTCAGAGTTCAGTGTTGATAACTCTACACTGCAGTCGTATCTTCGGATAAAGGTCGCTAAAAGTATTTACCAAAATAATGTAAATAAAAGAATATAGAGCAAAAATGTTTGAAAAAGTTATTTTGTTATTTTTCTTAGTTATTTATTTAAAAGCAAATGTGTCACAGCCTGAAAAAATCAATATAAGTGAATTTAAAAAATCACCAGTGTACGAAAATGTTGAAAACGATAAAAGTAGTCTGGTGTTCGTGTTCGATACAACAGGATCTATGTATAATGATCTGGAACAACTGAGAAACGGCGCTGGAATGATTTTGGAGACCGCGTTGGAGGATAGTGATGTTATTGAAGATTTTGTGTTCGTACCATTTCGAGATCCAGGTAAGTCAAATATATTTTAACCTTTTATTAACCAGTTAGGCTCAATTTACATTGCTACGGAACCGAATGCGTCGACTGATCGAGGCTATAAGTATTTCGTCGACGTTTGACGTCACCCTCCCGTGAGACGTGATTTTTGGCTCGCATCTAGTTTGTCCGTGATACAATGACTATTTCATTACGCCAATAAGCCTTGACAAATCGTACCAAAAAATTCGCTTCCATTCCATATAATAAGGCCACTTCTGCATAATGATAACTTTTTTAAATCGAGGTTTAAAGATTGTTATGAAGATCGTGACTGTAAATAAATCCTAAAGATACTTTAAAAATTACGACATTTTTAAATTTATCAAATAATAGATCCAGTGTTAAAACACCTTCCCTGTGTAATTGGAAATCAGAAATTGACAGTTGGAATTGGTATATATTAATATAATTATTGAAAAGAAAAATCATTTCCATAAACCCCCTTCCCATTTTTCCCAAGTGCATGGGATACACGCACGTATGAGTACTAGGTGCCACACATAGTATAATTATTTTAGTTGTGCTTACCCTTCTTTTTAATTTTTGATTGTTGGGTCTTAGAAGTATACGACCCCACCTTTGGCTTTCAACCCGATTGTACCAAAACCTAAATAGGTGTATTTTACTACTTTCCACGTTTCACAATGACAATAAAATTGATTCGGATAGTGGCTATTTAAAAAAAACTGAAATCATCACATTCTACAATCAATCAAAATGCGGAGTTGATATTTTTGACAGAATGTGCAGACAATATGATGTATCACGTAATAGTCGTCGATGGCCTCTCACAATGTTTTTCAATTTTGCTAACATGCCTGGAATAAAAGGTCTTGTAATATATCAGACAAATAATCCGGATATCAAAGTGGTTCGCCGCAAATACCTGCAAGAAGTTGGTTTTTAACTTGTACGACTTGCCATTGAACGTCGCATATCTATGAAAAATATTCCGAGAGCTATTCAGTTAAAAGGCAGACTACTTCTGGGACTTTCAGAGCTAGCTCCGCGGCAGAATATGCCTGTTCGTGGTGGAGTTGGACATGTTCATTTTGCAGCAGAGCTCGTGACAGTAACACGCGCAAGCTATGCATCAAATGTATGAGGCGTATTTGTAGTGAACATCAGGTGTCTGTGTGCCCAGAATGCGTAGATTAACTTTAGAGAATTAGTGTATTGATAGTTTTTATTTATAAAACCAATTTAAAAATGTCATAAAATCTAATTAGTTCATAGATTTTTCACTTGCCAAATAAAAGATAAGAATAATTGATCTCATGCCGTCCAAATTTAAGTATACCTGATAGTTGAAGTTTAAGATTACGAGTATATTAAAAAACTTAAAGACTATTTTTTTGTTATTTTGCTATGTAAATGTAAGAAAACTAAATGTTATTGCTCATTACAAACAGTGTTTTATTAATTTTTCACATTTTTAATCAATTTTATGGTTCCAAAATGGGCCACCCCGCGCCCACATTGCAGGAGTATTTTTAGGCGAATTTACTCTAGTGTTAACGCTTAAATTTATAAAGGGTCATGCTTCATATGGTGTGATGCACTCATATATAGTTTAGACCTCGAAATGCACCATATATAATGCATGCACAGGGAACGTGTTAAAGTTTTACGTCATTTTATTTTGTAACACCCCGACTACGATCTGGTTATCATTTGTTGATTCCTGTTTATTTTAGATTCATGGTCAATCTATAATATCATTGCAATATGTACACAATAATACGTAACGTAAGTCTCTAATATTTTCTCTCGAACGCTTGAAACGAAAAACGACCATCGGCCATTATTGTTTGGCGGCAGAAATAGGTAAAGTGGCAGTACTTACCTTGGACGAACTCTTTCACAAGGAGCTCTACTGCTACTAAACCTGGTCCTGCGAGGTTATTAGTATTTAACAAATAACCCTGTATATATACAGGGTGTAATCCTCAAGTGTGCCCAGGCGATTATTCCGTCAATATAAGTGATATTAAAAACCTTTAATCTGATATACAAAGTATGTTACCTAATGAGTAAAACGACATCAATAACTTTTTAAAAAGAAAATTAGTAAATCCAAAATTATAACGTTACGTGCTCCCATACTTTTAATGTGACATTCGTTAAATCTCAATTACTGTCAGAACACACACATTCATATTTTGAAATAGGTAGGTACTATAAAATCTTGATAAAATGATTGGTCGTAATTTTAAAAATAAATTACGAATTCTGGACTGTCAATATAATTTAAACTTTACTCTTTTGGCATGTTGTTCAAAGTTCAATACCATCAATACCTATTATTGCAAGTCATGACGACCTTTCGATTTTATATTGAAATTTCAATCAATGTGCTGCCATCTAGCGGGTAATAGCTGAACGACGAATTCGAAATGTTTATTTAGTTCTCCAAAAAGAAGCGACCATATTGCAGCGCTATAAAATTTATTTTCGTTTCTTGATATGTGTAGTGATTACGATAAACAGAAAATTGAAAATTCATTAAAATTGAATACAATAAGACTTAATTTACTTAACTTAATAAACTTTTTAGGTTTAAAATAGGTAATTTTTTTTATAATTCTAAGTGACGGGACGAACAAATCGTGTGCCTGATGGTAAGCCTGTCCTGAACAGTTGCATTGTCACTCAGACTGTTAAATCACAAAGATCAGAGGCACTGCCACTGCGCCCGACACCCTGAGACATAAGTTGACAAGTCCCATGTGCCTGTAATTTCACCAGCACCCTTCGAAACCGGAACACTGTAATGCTGGCATTACTGCTTGGCGGCAGAAATAGATAAGGTGGCATTACTTCCGTGGATGACCTCTTTCACAAGGAGTTCTACTGCTACTAAAATAATGAATACACAAGTAATTGACACAACCATAACGCACAAAGCAAAAATGGCGGGCTTACCTCAAGTTTGCGGAACTCCGCGAACTGTTGGCGCACGTGACACGCAAACTAAGCCCTTCTACTTTATTTATTGTTCTGTATATACAATATAGTGGGGGTGGGGGGAATTCTTATCAGAGAGAAGAAAATGAACCCTTTATTTTTTTAAACAGCTGTAGGTCCAGCAATAGTAACAAAAGACAAGGAGGTCTTTAAAACTGCGCTTGACGATGTTCGCGTGTACGGCGGAGGGGACTGCCCCGAAAAATCTCTGACTGGGATCCATCTAGCCCTGAACGTCAGTCGATCCAGGTCTTTTGTTTACGTGTTCACTGATGCGACGGCAGCCGACCACGGGCTTGTTGGAAACGTTCTGGATTCTATACAAAGGAAGCAGAGTCAGGTTGGTCACATTGTTAATAAAAAGTTATTTTTCACCCTGAAATAGTTTCGCTATTACCTATGCAGGTCACTTGTAAAATACTAACCATCTCGCAAGACTATTATTAACATTATATACAACTTTTGTGCTATGATTTTTTACAACTTACCAAAAATAAACATTAAGTTTTTGATGTAGTAATATAATGTTTAAAGGATATAAGCTTATTTTTACCACGGCATCAAACTTTTTGCTTTTGTCTTACATATGAATAAAACGTACAATCTTTTAAAATGTATGTTAATGGTACTCATCGGGTATATAACGAGAAATAGAGACGAAATGTCATTTAATTTAAAAACTATTCTGCCAAATCATTACGGTGACAACTGCGCTCCGATTGGCCAGCTCGAATTCGAAACAATTGACGGGTGTTGTCAAGTGTTTCACTTCAATAGTCCAATTTAACTTGAGCTTTGCTGTAATGGATGAAAATTGAAAAATTACATATTTAAGGTACTTAAAAAATGCACTTATAACAATGATAAATGAAATAAAGCTGATTGTAATTATATTAATTAGCTCTTGTAAATTAATTGAAAAATCCATTACAATTTGTGGGCGCGGCGTGAATTTAAAACTCCCGTGTTCCGAGCGGGCGGGGCGGGAGATAAGAAATAAAAGAAAAAATCCATTACCACCCTAGGGCCGTATAATAAAAATACCGCCGTGTCATGCTGCACGTAAAATTAAAAAAAATATTTTTAAGTTTGGGATGAGATAAGCGAGTGGATTAAGGGTTTTCCCCAGCAATTGGTGATGCGCGGCTCAAATTACTGAATGATTGACAAATTGTGCACTGTGCAGCGCCTCTAGCGATCGCTAGCGGAAGTAATATTTTGTACACAAATTATTTTTATTACGCGGTTGCTAGCGATAAGCTCTCTATACTTGGCTACAATTTGTAACTACTTCAGTATAAAAAGTATGCATAAATTATGTCTGACGTTGACACTCATGAAAATACGCAATATGTCAAAAATATTGATAAAAAATTGCACCATACACCATTCACATAACGCATAAATTTGAATAGCTTATTGTGGCTAACGGTACAGTAATTTTTCAGGTAGTATTCGTACTAACCGGCCACTGCAACGACCTGCACCGTCCATCGTACAAGGTGTACCAGCAGATAGCCGCCGCCAGCGCAGGCCAAGTGTTCAACCTCAACAAAACCAGTGTTCACAACGTGTTGGATTTTGTTCGGAGCTCGATCAAAGGGAGAACTGTTAATTTGGGCTCGGTTATTAATGTAGCGGGGTACAATCACACACAGGGAGTTAGTATTTTTTGCATTTGACCGTTTGATTTCTCATATAGTCAATTTAAATCCTAACTCCAATTTAACATCTCGAATTTTGTGAAAAAAAAAATAAACAAAAAACAAGATTTAAGTTAGTGTAGTATGCATTGCTAAATAAATCCACATCTGCAAAATGACAACTTTTCAAGACAAAGTTTTAAAGATTCTACGAACGAAATTATCGGTAACTTTTTTATGCTTACGTAGGAGAGTAAGTCGGTTTATTACGACTTAAAAAAAAGGAGGAGGTTCTCAATTCGACGAAATTTTTTTGTGTGTATGTTATGTTATTATTTGCGAACCGATTTTGTTGATTCTTTTTTGTTGGAAAGGAGGTAACTCAGTAGTGGTCCCATAAAAATTTGAAGAAAATATTCCACCTCTAAGGGTGGCAAATTAGGGGATGAATCCAGTTTATGTATCGAATCGATGTACCGAAAACGATAAACAAACTTTTTAGGTCTTTTTTTTTAATAAAAATTTTAGTTTTTTTTTTTCTTATTTCTCTTGGCTTTTCGCGGTAAGCGTTTTAGCCACTTACAAAGTGCTTTGACTAATTTGCTTTTAAAACGAGGAAACTTTTACAATATCACGGAATGTAATTTGGAAATGGGATTTGGAAGTTGGAGAAAAAATGAAAAAGGGACCAGGCGAGGAATTATGAGATACAAATAAACAAATGGTATAAATATAGAATAAATTATTATTTTTATTGCTGCAGTTAAATTTTATATTGTTCTCTAAAATAAATTTAGATAAATAAGTATATAGTTTATAAGTAGATATTGTGAATTTTGGCGGAAATGACAGATTGCTGTATTTATAAAGGCAACGTCTAGTTGTTAAACGACGAGTTCCCGGTAATGGAATGCCGGTAGCAAACGAACTTTTCTGAGTTGCTTCTGACCTGAGTGTTCTGTGAAGTGCCTCTTGGAGTTAATTTGTTTACTCAAGTACTTGTAGTGCATGAATGTCCCTTGTTTAAGTCCACGTTGATTAGTGTTGTCTGACTCATTCTAATTTCAGATACCTGTAGATAATACATTAGGAGAAGTAACGGTGTCCGTGTCAGGCGCACAACCTTCCATTAAAGTGGTAAACCCTAGCGGAGAAGAATTGACGGGGCCTCCAAAACTTATTACTACGTTGGATCTTTCTGAAATTATGGTAATTTTTCCATTTCGTCTATCTATAAACTCAATATCAACCGGTGTAATGTCTAGTTTAGTTTTTTGCTCCTTGTTGTAAACTCTCTCTTGAATAAAGAAGACATGATTCCATATTTACCATGTCGTCCCTTTCCATTTTTGCTTCTAGGTTCATATGGAGTTCTTCGGACTTCGCGATTGTTACACATAGGAAATAAACTTTTTTTTTTGGATGTAAATCGCGTAGGTACATTAAATTACAGGCTCATGGGAGTTGTCAACTTATGGCTCAAGGTGAAGGGCGCAGTGGCAGCGTTCCTCAGATCTTTGCGATTTAAGCTCTGAGTGGCACGGCAGCTGTTAGGGGCAGGCGTGTCGCTTACCACCGGCCACACGACTAGTTCGTCCCGACAGTTAGTATTATAAAAAAAGCCCACTCACTTAACCGAGACCACGGGACCTAAAAAGGGCGAAACGTTGATTTGTTTGAAAAAACAAATATATACGCGATTTAGATCCGAACAAAATCTTTCAATTCCATTTTCATTCTGCATGTTTTTAATAGAATTAAGTACCTACTTCCAAATTATCAAACAGAAAATTCGTAAATACCAGTAACATTCTAATTTAATATCTATTCTCTGTCCAGGTGGTGAAAGTCCTTCAACCAGAACCCGGAAACTGGACAATAACCACCGGTAGTGCAGAAGACTACTCAGTCAAAGTTGTAGGCCTGTCCAACTTAACGTTTACTCATGGTTTTTCTGTCGAGCAACCGAGATCTGTGTCTGAAACTACATACAGGCCTTTGCAGGGTGAGAAACCATTTAATTAACCGACTTCATAAAAGGAGTAGGTTCTCAATTTCACTGTATGTTTTTTTTGTATATATGTTACACGATAACTCAGGCATTTGTGAACCGATTTTGACGATTCTTTTTGTTTTTATTGGCAAGAAGGTACCTCAGCAGTGGTCCCATTTAAATTTGAAGGAAATATTCCACCTTTCAGGGTGGCAAACTAGGGGATGAAACCGGTTTCGCGAATTTTCCGGTAACCAATTTCAATAAAACTTGGCAAATAGATGTAGTTCCACGAACTTTTGAGGTCGGATTTTTTAGTACTCTCTACTAAGATTCTTACATTATCAACTCAGCGAACTTCCAAGAACTTGGTCTCTGGGGATTTACTCTCGATCTTCACCTGACATCCGTTCGATGTAATTGACTAGGAAATCGAACTCTACTGACCTAGGAAGTCGAATTTGGACTTTAAAGTAATTCTAATAGCGCCATGTAAAAAAAGTCAGTAGATAACTGACAGCCTTGTTACCGTTCCGTCAATGTACCTTTCAATATACGGGTCGCGGTGCGGTATCTAAAGCTAGGGAGGAGCGGAGAGTGACCATTCTAATTACTTTTTTATTCACTGCTTTGGTAAAAAGATCTATATGTGATAATGAACCACGGAGCCAAAACAAATAATCATCTTTATTTCTAGGTACCTACAACCATATGGTGATATCTCTTACACAAATAGATCAGCCAGTACACATTGACTACGCTGAAATATTGTCTTTGAACGGAAGAACATTATTCGAAGTTCCTTTGCGTGTATTCGATGAACCGAACAAGATATACATAGCAGATCCTTTTGTGCCTCCGAATGACTTCTTTTATGTTGCTGTGAGTGGTTTATAATGTATTTGACCCCTTTAATTTAGACTTTTAACGTTAAAATTAGCACACAATCAATCATTACACCTGTATTTCAGCGGTGTAGACTAGAGATGCCGCAGACATCTGCATCCGCAATCACTGATCAACCGCTGTGCTAATTAACCAATCAGGGATCGAGAATTTGGCAGCGCGCGGACAACGACCTGCTTTTTTTCTAAACAAATAAATAATTATTGAGTTTAGTACATTAACTTACGTTATTCGTACAAAAATAATGTTTTCTTTTGTAATGCAATTATGTAAAATTATTATATATTTTACTGGTGTATATATTTTGTATATTGTATATGTTTCGTTGGTGAAACTACAGACACATGGGCTTGTCAACTTATGTCTCAGGACGACGGGCGCAGTGGTAGTGCCCCCTCAGATCTTTGCAATTTAAAGCCCTGAGTGGCACTGTAACTGTTATGGACAGGTGTGTAGCTTACCATCAGACGCACGAGTTGTACGTCCCGTCACTTGATGTTATAATAATAGAAAAAAATTTAAATTAATCATATTTCAGTCATAACAATCACTCAACCAGATCCAGATTCGGAGTAAATACTCCGAAAAGTAACTTTTTTTCCACACATCCGCATCTGCATATGTCGATACTTCCTATGAACACTACACCAACTTAATTTTTGCGACTGTTCTGTTTTTATTTTCTTTTTTGTTTCTTATTCTCAAAATTCGGGGAGCACAATATTGGTAAATATTTATTTACCAATATTGTGCTGTTTACAAAAAAAACAGAAAAAGACCAAAAAATTAAGTTGGCGCAGTAGTGTTCATTGGAGGTATCGATGTGATCATAACCAACATCTGCGGCATCCCTGGTGTAGATAAAGAATACAGATGTCCAGTTGCTACAATTCAGACTTACATACCTCCTCGCTCTCTGAGTCGCCTCAGATCATTCATACCTGCTCAACAACGATTAATATAAAACTTAAAGAATAGTCTTCCAATAACACCAAAACCAAAATGTCACAATAACAGAAAACATTAAAGTTAAGTTTCAATACAATTTCAGATCAACGGCCGAGACGAATTCAACCAAGAGTTAAGACGCATTGGTGCCACAGCCATACAACCAAAGACCCCAGGTAAACACAAAATAATTGAACCAATATTGAATCGGTATCATGTCAGCCAAAAGACGTCCACTGCTGGACGTAGGCCTCACCCAAAAATCGCCATAACGACTGGTGATGCCCTGCTTGCATTCAACTTATTCCAACAACCTTCACCAGGTCACTGGTCCATCTTGTGTGTGTGACGTTTTTCGGTATGTGGTTGCCACTCGAGGACTCTTTGCCTATCTGCTCTGCGGGCAATGTGCCCCAAGAAAGAGATCGTCCAGGGAAGTACTGCCACCTTACCTATTTCTGCCGCCAAGCAGTAATGTAGCATTACTGCGTTTCGGTTTTGAAGGGTGAGGGTGCTGGTGAAATTACAGGCACATAGGACTTGTCAACTTATGTCTCAGCGTGACGGGCGCAGTGGCAGTGCCCCTCAGATCTTTGCGTTTTAAAGCTCTGCGTGGCACTGCAACTGTTAGAGTACTGTTACTTTGTTCCAATTACGAATTCGTAAAGACATAAGTACTTTTGGACTCTAAAATGGTGCCACTTATATCGATGAAATTGCCAGGAATATTTTTTGTTATAAAGATCAGGCTTTAATTGTATCAATGTTCAAATAGTGTAAATGTAATTTCGAAGGAGCAGTATATTTTAAAAAATGTTTTTTTTTTCAGATGTTCCATATTTAACTGCTCAACCGAAGGTATGCCTTATTTTGTTATGTTGCTTTACTTTTTTTTGTCGTTTTCATACATACAAACGTTTCACTTTATGTTTGTCCTTTGCGCAGATAGAAGCCAGGGCTCACGAGAGAATAGTGTTGCGCTGTCACATAGAGAGCTTAGTACCTGTCACTGCAATGTGGACCAAAGATATGGCAAAAATACAACCGCAAATCTCCAGTTTGTAAGATAGTGTTCTTTAGAGTATTTTTATATGTATAGACAGATACAGAAATTTTGGATAGTTGCCTTGTGGCCCTGAAATAGTGGCGTTTGTGGCGACTTTTGGTATTAATGATCCTGTTTTATTCGTGAAAAGATTTTTTTTTTCAAATTTCGCAATATGGCGATGGTTCGAATTTAATATTATGACGACCCAAGTGGGTGCTAGATGAGAAAGGTCCCGGGTTTGATTCCGGTAGGACCTTTGAGAAATGAACTTTTCTGTATTGATTCTGATATTGATGTTGTGGGAAGTGCCCCCGAGTGAGAAGTGAAGTGTAGTGCTAGAGACCAGGCGCTTGGTGTGGTTGTCAGGCACTTAAAAAATATTTAAAAAATGTCATATTTATTTTTTTGAATATTATCATGTTTTACTACCATGATGACGACATTCATTTTTTTAATGAAATTACACCAGTTGGATCTGACTGGACTCGAACCAGAGTCCGTTGCCGTGTCGGGGCCACCGCTTTTAACCAAATGAGCTACAGACCGAGACTATTTAAGCGTCAGTTTTAAGGCGCATTATCTACTACGGTCTTCTTCTTTTGCCTGTCTTTATTTCCATTTTTTTGGGGACGGCTTTTCTGGTCACTCTTTTACAAGACGGTCTGTCCTGGATCATCTGTGGTCTTAATTTTTGCTCTACCAGATCTTTATTAACAAGGGATATCTGTGTGAGGCTGGGTCTACCATGTCCCTTGGGCTAGTTACTCATGTCAAGGACTTTCCTTGTCATGTGATCAGGTGGTCGTCTCATAACATGTCCATACCACCTGAGTCAACTCTCTGGCTACTTTTCCGGGAGAGGCTTCACTTTAAAACTGCCTCTGATGTAGATGTTTTTCACTTTGTCGAGTCTTGTAACGCTGCCTGCCCATCTTGCCATTGTCATTTACGCGCTGTGCGCGCGCTTTATCTCCTACGGTCATGTTTATTAAATTAGGTATGATTTTCTTGAGCATACGTCATGTTGCGATGAAAAGTCATCGCAAATATATTTAAAATCATCATCATCGTCACTTGAGCCTAAAAATGTCCATTGCTGAACATAGGCCTAACCCAGAGAATGCCTACCCCAGACAACGACCTGTCCTGCGCCTCTTGCATCCAGCTGATTCCCGCAGCCTTCACCAGATCATCAGTCCACCTTGTGGGTGGTCTGCCCACGCCACGTCTTGTGGTACGCGGTCGCCACTCGAGAACTCTTCGGCCCCATCGGCCATCTGTTCTGCGAGCAATGTGCCCTGCCCACTGCCACTAAAGTTTTGCAATTCTTAGGGCTATGTCGGTTACTCTGGTTTCCTTGCGGGTATCCTCATTACTGATTCGATCTCGCAACGAAACTCCGAGCATACCCCTATCCATTACCCTTTGAGTGACCTGGAGCCTTCTTATGAGGCCCATAGTAAGCGACCACGTCTCAGTGCCGTAAGTCATCACTGGCAACACAGACTGGTCGAAGATTTTTGCCTTGAGATACTGTGATATTTCGGACAAGAAGATAAGATATTTAAAAAATACTATAACTATACTATAAATAACCTAATAAATGTTAAGAGTCAAGACATAAGCGAAACAAAACAAAACATCGATCACAATATTTTAGTATCCGACTCGAAGGACCAATTATATTACAGGCAAACTACATCTATAGAGTATGTTATAGACGATATGAGTGAAGAAGACGTCGGCACTTATAGATGTGTTGCTAAAAATGTCGCCGGGATCAGCAAGGCTGTCATTGATGTTAGCTTACTGGGTGCGTATACGTGAAAACAAAACTCAAACTTAAACCATCTTTATTTCATTTATTTCTTTATAAAAATTATATACATTAGGTTACATTTATAATATTCATTTGAAACATCTTAGATCAGATTACTTGGAAGAGTTAAACGGATCTCTACCACGAATTTTTGTCATCCAAGTACGAAGAAGCTGTATAAGTAAAGCAGTTGTACATGCTTACACGTCATCGTCGTATTGACTTATTGGTATAGCGCCGCAGCATCGCACATCAAATCCATAGCTGTGTATGATACTATGAGCGGCTCTTAAACTAATGCTTTGCTAAAGCCTGTCGCAAGCCCACACCAGCTTGTAAAAAGACAATGTCAGAAATACACTCTCTTCTAGCATTTGTCATATTTGGTACTCGTTGTCTATAGCAAATTTTATCTAAATTATTTGTTCATATTGTAATGACTGTTTGTACCAAAATAAATTAAAAATAAGGCATGTAAAAAAGACTAATTTGTTTAAAACATCACAACAAGATTTGGCAGATTTCAATTATCGATTGGTTCATTCAATTGGAATATTACAAACACTCTAACTCCCGTTCACACGGCATTGTACTGCACGGTTTTTTGCAGTATAAATCCGAACTGAATAAACAGTAGCGCATACATTAGATATAGAACCGTTCACACGGTCTTGCAAAAAAACGCACACACATAAAAGAACGTGCAATGCAATGCCGTATGAACGGGGGGTGAGGGTGCTTACAAATTAGACGCTTGTAGAAGACGAAGACTCCTAAAGAGATGATTTTCGATACGAACCAATAAGACAAGAACACTGTCATTGTCACACTGAAAACCTAGCCACTAATGCCATCTATCGATATGTAACGTAACTACTTGTTTTAATTAAATTTAAGACCCATTTAGATGGTGAGAGTTTATCGCACGCTTCGTGACGAGAAATCGTACGCGATTATCGTAAGCAATATAGATTTTCTTTTTTTTTAGATTTTTTTAGAAGATTATCGTAACATAATATTTACATTGAGGCAAGAACTAAAATCTCGCCTACGATTATGTCATACGAGATTCGCAAGCAACTTAATCGCCTCCTCGACTGTTTACACGATTCGACTCGACTCGACTCGGCTGCTTAGGAGTTTTCGACTTGTCTAAACACGATCTTGTATGACATTTTTTCAAGTTCATACGATTATCGTACAACTCGGTTCCAACCGTTTTGAGTGCGAGAATTGCCATTTCAGTTCAGTGATTTCTGCGGTATTGACTATGGACATATCAAAATGACGCAAAAATCATTCAAATTTGGAACTGCTGATAATACTAAGTTCATTGCACTGTATAGAAATATACATTTTTTTCCAAATTTTATAACATTTCTTAATCCAATTTTTTTTTTCGTTCTTGTTTCATTAATTCTTATTTTAGAAAAGCAGTGATAATCAAAACATCCTCGCGCACTGCACTCGTGGTAGAAACAGCTGGCACAGAAACTCGAAATACGATTTTTGCTTTCAAGTTCTGTTTACACGGAGACGATCAATATTGAAAGGCGAGGCGATTATCGTTCACGTGGACGATCGATAATCGCGAATGCTTAGACGAGGAAAGTTTTTTATATTCTTTCGATAATCATATCAACGAGACGCTAAACTCTCTCCATCTAAATGGGCCTTTAGGCTAAAGTTCCACACCTATGTTGTGGATATTTAGTAATAGTAAAGCGTCTTGTGAAATAGTAAGTCCAGGGAAGTACTGCCACCTTACATATTTCTGTTGCCAAGCACTAATATGTGAGCATTACTGCGTTCCGGGCTGGAACGAAGTAATTTAAAGCTTGTGATTTATAGCTCTGAGTGCATCTATTGGCCTGTCGCTTACCACCATGCGCACGATTTGTTCTTCCCGTCACTTAGTATTATAAAAAAGGATTCGCATGAAATGTTTTCAAGGCGAGAATGTTAAGTATTATATAGGTGTACATAGTCAACCTCATCGTCACTTCAGGTGAGATGGATGTCAACTGCCCACTTATTTTAACTGTTACAAAAATGCAAAGTTTGCGCAAAAATTAGTCTGCTGGTTTTTAATCTTCACATGTTTCATAGCATAACTACATAGAATTGGCCGTCTTCTTATTTTACTGGTCTGTACTTTCGTCTTCGTCGTCGATCTATTTATGTAACTAAGTAACAATCAATAAATATAAACCTCCATCATGTAGTTCAACTATGTAACAAAAAATACCAATTTTATTGTTTCCAGTGGATTCTCCCCAAGTTATTATAACACCCGAGAACAAAACTTTCCAACTAGGTGAACGTGTAACAATAACTTGCCTAGTAATCACTGAGGCATTATTATGGAAGTACCAATTAGATTTTAAAGGCGCACGACAACAATATGGTGAGTATTTTCTTGACTAGTTAATAGATATTATTTATTATTAAAACTTTGGTTTTATTCAGAGGCTGTTAAAAAATTACAAGTTTAAAATTTTGTCAATAACTATTTTGTTTCCAGTGATTTGATGAGATTTTTTAATAAAATTTTTACATTAAAAGAATACTGATTGTTAATTTAAAGATGGCCGTGCAACCGGCTTATCTGTATCTTCACCGCAGTTAATTGTACTTACCAGTGGCGAGGCGTTAAAATTGTCGTTAGTAAAGTCGGAGCTAACAAAAAACACCTAGCTTAAGAAAAAGTGGCGCCTTGGCGACACTTAAACACGACTTAAGGTACTAGGTACATAAGGTAACGACACAAAGTACTAGTATACTTCATTTAACTGGTTAACTTAGACACGTACACATAAAATTTAGCATAAAATGTATTATTTGATAACACGTTGAAAATTTTAGGCAAGCCGGCGAAAATCGAGTTATATAGCCGCCTTTTTTTTTTCTTTTTTTTTTTTACGGGGGGGAAATCTTTATGGATACCCCTGAGCCCAGGGAGACTCAGGGGTTATGTGGGGACTCTCCCTCCAGACTGGAGGGCCTACCCCACTAAAACCCCCCCGGGTTTCCCTCTCGCCGGTTGAGTCGGCGCCGTGGGATCAGTGAACATTCACCACGACGAGTTATATAGCCGCCTCGCCACTGGTACTTACCCTCTTAACATAACACCCAGTAATGGGAAGAGCGTTAAACGTTGGGCATATACATTAAAATATATTAAGTATAATACATGGTTCAGGCCCAAGCAAGTATGCCCTCGGTTTTGTATGAATCAAATATGAAATAAACCCTATGGTCATGTACAATATTATAGCGCTAAATTTAAAAGCGATATTGTCGTTATAATATGCACTGGGCGTTTACGTGATCTTAGGAGTAATGTTGTTTGGATCTGAATCACTTCACATAATATAATGTACAGTCAACAGCACATCAATCTCTGCATTTTTGTTCGAATATCGCCTCCAGTGCAACGGTCCACGGTTCGTCAATGGATAGCTTTGTGACGATGCGACCTCTTTCGTCGTCATCCCACCTTTTCATCACCCTTTTCTCTGGTTCCTGGCCACCTACTTTGACATTTTGAATCGTTCTTAAATTCCTTTTTTTCCTCGTCACTTACGTTTCTTCTTTCCATCGCCACTGTCTAGTGAATTTTCGAAGCTTCACATAAAATTCTGACCAATTCAATTATGTAACCAAACTGCTTGTAAAGCATAGTATTTCTAGAAATTACCGGCCCTTTTGGGCTAACTTCCTTTTTACCATAAACTGTATTTAATTTAAGTAGGGAGTGTTTTATGCGATTGTACCTCTTATCATTATCTTTACCTGTTCTTTTTATTTGTACAATAAAATGACCGAGCCTTCTATTCAATTACGCGAGGCCCGCGTGACAGCTTAATGTGCTGCCGTCTGTACATTGTGATTACACGGGGCCCCAAGCATTATGCGTCCTTTGGCCGGAGCCTTGTGGTAAATCCAACCCTGTATACAAACTGATATGATCTAACGATCTATGATCAAACAGCAGACACGTGGGAATGTAGCCACGTTCTGTACATGATGTACTTTCGATTTTAATTAATCTTTTTTACGTATTACAGCTATAGATATAAATCTAGAACCGAATGTTGAAGGATTGTACATGTATAATAAAACCATTCAAAATGTTACTGATAACGACGATGGTGTCTATTCCTGCATCGCTCGGAATCGAGGTATCAAACATCAAAATCATTGTATACTAAGACAACTATGGTAACTCCATACAAACGTAGCAGCGCGGCTTGTATGAAATCTCGCGATGCACTCACGTTGAATAGCGCGGGTGTTGCACGCTTCAAGCGTTCTGTTATCCGTTCTATCCCAGCCCTGTTGCCTAAATGGTAAAAAAACTCAGCCCTGTAATTTCTCCAAATAAGCAGTCTTCTTTCGACATAAGTAAAACACCATAGAAAGCAGTTTAGTCCCTGTTCTATTTCATATATTATTTTAATTGTAAAGATTACCAGTTCGTCCCGAATTGTACCATTTTTGGGAAAATTGTGTTTTTAAAAAGACTTCTTAGCCAAGTAAATAGTGTTTGTTGTTAGTTCTTAGTACTCCCATAGTCGACATACCATTCCACGATGTTGGTATAAAAATATCAATACGTACGAGTACATTAATTTAACCAAAGGTTATTTCAATATAGCGTGAAAAAACTGGGTATATAATTGATTGTGAACTATGAATGTGATTTATTCAATCTAAAATATTTATTTGATTCCATAAATCTCCACTTGAAAAGCGTTCGATGTCAGTGCATCTCTTAGGGTCGTATTCTAGAACTCTACTCAATGCTCAAGTCAGGATTTGAGTATGGTTTAAAGCACTCGAAATCATACTCAAGTCCCTGCCATTAGGATCGTATTTCCAGTGCTTGTGTTGCCAGTGCAATCCTGACTTGAGCATTGGATAGAGTTCTAGAATACGACCAAAAGTTTATGAAAATATAACGATTTATAGAACTTTAACTATAATGTAAAACGCACCCTGCAAAATGACAGCTTTTCAGAAGAAAGCCTTAAAGGATCTACGAACGAAATTAGTCGATTTTATGTTTAAACAGAAAAGAAACAATTTCACATTATATTACATAAATTGTTTCAAAAGTGCATTTATCACAAAAAGTATTTTTAACATCAGATCGCATGTGACTTTCTTGTACTAGGGGTACGAAATAAGTTAGGAATTAACAGTTACAAACGCATAATGACATTACTGTAAAGTTTTCTAAAATTACTTTCTGTAATATTAAACGAACATATTATTAAACACTCCGTATAAAAAAATATTCTTTTTTAATTGCTATAGTCGAGAATATTGTGTGGTAATAAAATCAGATTAATTAACTAATCAATATCGCACCTTTAGCGTAATAAGGTCACATCTGCAAAATGACAAATTTTCAGAAGAGATTTAAATTAGTTCAAATTTATATTTTCACATATACAGGGTTATTTTTAAATAATAATAGCCTCGCAGGATTATGTTACTAACATCATAAACAACAACATTTGTTCCATGATTTTTTACAAAATATAAATACATTTACCAAAATAAAACTTTCAAGTTTTTGTTGCACTATATGACACTCTGGTATTTGGTAGTAAGGTAAGTTCAAACGTGCAAGTGTCCTCTGGGACGACTCCCACCCCCGTCCTGCACAGAGTTATTACCGTTTAGCGCGATCTAAAGTTTACTTTGGTTTAGTTTAAGTTAATTTATTTCTCTCAACATTACAAATTTCATACAAATACAATTACATGTCATTTTATACTATTCTTCGAAAAGTGAGTGGCAGTTTACAAAAAAATGAAGAAATAATTATATAATAGTGAGTCATAAGTACACTGTAGTGTACCTACATATACAAATCAACATAATTAATTAAACTAATAAATAATTTAATTAAACTAACAATGTTAAGTGTATACAGGAAATGTCAATATGGATTCTTAATAACTAACAAATGTATATTACAGTCATTGACTTACAATTATATGGACGTCGGGTCCGCGCTAAAAAGTGTCCGCACTTGTAAGGCGCTAAAATCGTATACAGAGCGCGACACTCCGCTTTAGTCTTCATTTGTTCTACGGACAGCGCGATACTGCGATGACATTACAATTTAAATTTCGAATAGGTTGACTTGGGACATTTTTTTCGTGGTTTTTGTATTAGACCCGTCGTCCATTTATTTGTAAGTCAATGATTACAGTATAATAATACGGTGAATGTCAAACTCATTAATAAATGTAATAATTTAATTGTTTATATACTCTGTTTATATACAAAGTACATAAACAGAGTACACTCAAAGTACTTATACTTTGAGTGTACTCTGTTTATGTACTTTATATTTACTCTATTTATTTTTGTATGAAAGTAAAATAGGAAATGAATTGTTAAAAGTCATGGAACAAAACGATGTCTTACTTTCTCAAACTCGTATCTTATAAAAAGTGATGAATAATAAAAAGAATAATAAGGAGATGACAAAACTTTATGTTTATTTTAAATTTCTTATCAGGGGTGTTAATTTGGAATTTGGATGCATTACTTTAACGATAGGTAAAAGCCAGTGTGTGAATATGACGGAAATGTCATGTGAAGTCAGCCTGCAAAATTTGTATATCGTCTACTTAAAGGTAAAACCACATAATTGACATTTTCTACAAACATCTCCAAATCACATGATTTGGAGATATTACAATGGTACCTACATACCAGTTGTAAGAAATTCACCATCTTTCTGCAGATAAAACTCTAACATAATTTGTAGCTTTTTTGGTACTAAGCTTCACGTACAGAAAGATTTTCTTACCATAGCCTTAGAATAATAACGCATAGAATGATAGTTTCATATCAAACGAACTGTCACAAGTGAGGCAAAAATCAAATTCATGTAGGCTAGTTTTAGTAGTAGGTTAATTTTCGGTTTTAGTGAATATTTATATAAAAATACTACATAGTTGAAACGCGTTACTTCCTTGTGGAATGTGATGTTAGTATCTATTTTATGTTTGTCTGACTTATTTTTACACTCATTTACCGCACATTTCGTCATTTTTAGCTAAAATTCTTGATCTGTTCGCGGTGCAAGTTGACCTTGAGCACTGAAGGCCGGGCTTGTGTAGGGCCTTTGGGAGCGCTTCAATTTGCCTCACTCAGCGTGTGCGGACTAGGTTTCTATGCGTTATTATTCTAAGACCATAGCTATATAAATTAAAGATTTTCTGTGAAAAATGTCACTTATGCGGTTTTACCTTCAAACAGTGATATACAATCCAGTTTTTGCATTTTAGTAACTTTGTGCTTTAAGATACGAGTTTGAGAAAGTAAGGCGACTAAAAGCTGTTGTTTATGACGTTGATAATATAGTCCTGCGAGGAGTATTTTAAAAATGACCTTGTATAGGTACGTAATTCTCTTCATATAGTTTGTATTATTTTTATAACTTTAGTCTGATAAAGGCGCTTTTGACGTATGGCTTTATTATATCAAGGCTAGGATATACCTGTAGTTCTCATAGCTGCTATTTATATTTTCAGGTGGTGAGACAATACAGTCAACATATATAACCGTCCAATTTCAACCTCAAGTCCAAATCCTAGGTCCTCACACGTTGACCAAACATAACCACGCAAACTTACAACTAGTATGCCATGTTGATAATGCAGATAAAGCACTTTGGTTAGCTCCAAATGGTAGTTCTGTCAGGGAGGTTGATGTGAAGGGGAGTTCTAATGATATGTTAGATTTGTATGACGTGGAACTTGATGGAGTTTGGAGTTGTGTTGCTGTAAGGGGAAAGTATAGAGGTATGTTAACGGAGGTATGCATACTAACGATTGATATTATTTAGTACGTTGTTTATTACGCGATATATTTTTACGTCTGACGTAAGAATTAAAATATATGTGCCGCCGTTAGTTGAAAGGACATGTGACATTTAAAAAAAAAATTATGTATACTGCCGTGATCAGTAAAAAAAAGCCGATCTGTCACTATTTTTTTCTAAGTGGATAAGGTATGATGTGTGGATTCGCTCTGGACCTTTTGGAGGGAAAAGTGTCGTTTTTATTTTGACTTTCAATTATTTTGTGAATTCTAGTTTAAAATGGAATAGATTAGTGCTATTGTGCCTTAATCGATGATTAAAACGCGAAATTATACGAATCTCGAACTAAAATACCCGTATCGGCCCGTTTTAAGGAAACCCGAGTCAATCCAAGCACGTCGCCTCAAATTGCCTATCCTCTTTGTAGCGGCCATGTTTACAGAAACATAATTAAACTTCATGTTTAGGCTGATGGCTTTGCCAAAGCCTTAATAAATAAAAAAAATAAAAAATAAGGTATGATGTTAACGCAAGGGAAAAGTAGATTTAAAGAAAAATATACATATATTGAAAACCTGAAACATTCGCACGTTCATGTCGGCCTCGGAATATATGTGTATAACTAGCCATCCTGCTTTATCTGTCACTACTCCAAGAGGTATTGCTCCTTTAATTTAATTTCTTTATAGGAAATGAAACTGTTTTTCCGGATTTAAATCGCGTATATTTCACGGTCAACCGTGACCATGAGACCTGTAAAGGGCCCGAAACGTCGGTTTGTTTGAAAAAATAAATGTACGCGATTTAAATCCGGAAAAACAGTTTCATTTCCTATGTGTAATAATCGCGAAAACCTAAGAACTTAATTTCTTTAAACATTATTTTCTCGGTTTTGAATTTTTGTCAGAAGCCCCTTTTCAACTAACAGCGGCAGACCTTGTAATCAAAGGCATAGCAACTCTAAATTTGTCTGAATTATTTTTTTACCGACTTCAAAAAAAGGAGGAGGTTCTCAATTCGACTGTGTATCATCATCATTTCAGCCAAATAACGTCCACCGCTGGACGTCATTACATATGTTACGCGATACTCGTGAACCGATTTTACAGATTTGACATTATTGGTCTTTAAAATTTGAAGAATAAAATAAACTATTCCACCTCTAATTATAATACCAAGCGATGGGACGAACAAGTCGTGCTTCTTCTGGTAAGCGACACGCCTATCCTTAACAGTTGCAGTGCCACTCAGAGTTTTAAATCGCATAGATCTTAGGGGCACCGCCACTGCGCCCGTCACACTGAGACATAAGTTGACAAGTCATATGTGCCTGTAATTTCACCAGCCCATCCGAACCCGCAAGCTGTTTTTGATTTAAATCGGAATTGAACCGATCGGGTAGTCTCGAAATCAGTTGGGTTTCCGAGCGAGAAGATGAACCTGATTCCTACTATATCTTTCGAATTTGTGAGTTAAATTAACTATTGTTCCGATTTCAAATGTCAAACGTTTCCGATTGGACGGTCGTGAATGGCAATTAATGCGCCTCGACTCGAAAGAGACGTAGTTTCCGATCGGAACAGGCTAACAAACTCAAGCTGCAGTTATGCTCACATTACTGCTTGGTGTCAGAAGTAGGTAAGGTGGCAGTGGGTGTGTAATGGAAGATATAACAACAAATAATCTATTTTCACTTGGTATAACATCATTTGATATAATTTTTAAGGATATAATCACTCACTGTATATAAACAACAAAAGGCATAAATTCAATGTGTATAATGAACCTTCAGTATAAAAACATTAGATATAATGATTAAGTGACATAATGAACAAATGGTATAAGTACTACCAGTATAATGTATTAAATCGACTGCCGCAACAAACATTATCGAAACTGCAAAATTTTTTATTGCATCAACTTTAAGAGTATATGAACAATACAAAAAAAAAAGAAAAATACACAGTTTTGTCAAAAAATCATATTAAGGGAAGTTTTAACTTGAATACTATCGGTACTTCACACTATGAGCGACAAACATTATCGAATAATGTACAATCGAAACTGTTCTAAAGCGACGGTGTGCGCGCACAGTTCGTAACTGACCGAATCGTCAGTATTCGCCGCGATGCGATATGAGACAGTGAGGGCATGTCTCTTTCGTTTACTTTAAGCTTGTTTTAGTTACTTATTTTTTATTTTGCTCTTTGTTTTTTTTTAATCGGAGTTTAAAAATGAATAGCTGAGGTAGATGTGTGGTTAATTACGTTATAAAACATAAACAACAAGTACCTACTTCCCTGGACGAATCCTTTTTTTTTATACTTTTAGAGTCGAATCGGTTCGATTCGGAATTGAATCAAGAGCGTTAACGCTCTTTGGTTGCGTTATTAAGTTTTTTATATACAATATTTCACTCGCTTCAATACGAGGTACAAAATAGACATTAATTCATTAGATTTCTCTTAGGTACGTGATCTCACTTATGAAAATCAGTGCTGGTGCTGGGAACGCATTGCGTTTTCCAGCAACTACCGAGTTAGTGACCCTTTAGTTACCGCGGCTAGCACCACACAAAATATCTTTGTACCTAATGCCCTTGTTTATGTGAATAATTTGCTTCTTTTTCTTTTGTAGTGTCATTTGTGGTAAAGAAATAAATGTATTTTCTTTCTTTATTTCAGTGAAAGACTCCGTAGAACTCATAATCCTAATCAAACCAGAAGTATCAATCGAAGGACCTAAAAACATAACAATTGTAAATGGAACCGCCGTTAATATCACTTGTATTATAACGGCCAAACCTTTACCAAGGATCATATGGCATAAGGAGACGGAGAGATTTTTGAATCATGAAGTAAGTTTTGAAATAATGAATCTTAATTATTTGACAATTTACTTCAATTCAAATTTGACTGTAATAACCATGGTTACATACATGCCTGGACGCATAATATGACTTTGCGTATACAATTCATCCCTCAAGAAGAGACGAGTTAGGTACACTCTTCTAAGGGCCTAAACAAATTGAAAATCGTGCATAAGTACGTGCCCTCGAAACTACGTGTTAGGTACGCTTTTCCAGCTACCATATAAGTTTAGGCAATTAAAAACTGTACTTAGTACAACCACTGGGAGATGAATTAGGTACAGTGTTTCGCAAGAAAAGCCATCTTTAAGTGAAGGTACCTACGTCACTTAAAGATGTAGTATCTCGTACCTATCACGGTAAACACGGTACTCTACTTTAATAGCCCTCATTATGCAACGGTTGCATAAAATACTATTATTTCTATAGCTAAACCAATTACACTTGAAACCGTCATGCTGATTAAACTCTACAGCTCACTTGTAAGGCAGATTCCTCTGAAAAGAATGAGCAAGAAATTCCAGGGTTTACCGTTTGTAAATAAACGGATCTAACACGAATCGTAAATGTGAGCCAACAAGCGGGTAAACTAAAATGGGACTGGGCGGGTCACTCTGCCGCATGTACGACGATTCGGGGGCGAAGGCCATCATAGAATGGATCCTCAAAGGTAGAAAACGACCATGCGGCAGGCCAAAACGTCGATGGAGAGACGAGCTAGACGCGCACGACCTCAGTGGCGCAAAACAGAGAGATGTGATGAGAGGGGAGGGAGGCCTTTGCTCAGCATTGGGACAATATAGGCTAAAAAAATAATAAACATTCGTACTTGCGCATTTATTATTTAAAATATTTATTTCTTTGGAGCAAGACGGGATATTAGTCATCCAAGTAGACAGAAGCTGTATAATAAATAAACTAACCTTTTGTATAAAAGTTTTAAACCTCGTGACCGTGAGCAATTATTATTCTTGTGTCCAGTAGACCTCTATAGAAACTAAATATTGATTTGATGTATTATCCAACAGGTAACGGTGCTCAAACCAAACGTTTATAAAAGCGTATTGACGCTAAACAGCACAAAAGAACCTGTAAATGCTACGTACTTCTGTTTCGGAGAAAACAGCGAAGGAATTAATCAGGACAGTGTGATTGTGAACGTTAAAAGAAAGATGCAAGTTGTTGAGTGCTTCTCAGGTAATTTTCATAAAGATTTATAAACATTATGTCCCTACCAGTCATCTCCTAGCAGACCGTGCCAGACGCTATGCCAACTAAGCCACGGACCTCACAAATTTTTCTACGTGCTTGTTGTCGGATCTTTGTATTTGGATTTCAACTACTTTTTGGCCGTAGCGCCATCTATGAGAAATCGATGAAAGTATTTCGTCACCCATTTAGGTAACTTTACAGCTACCAGCCCTGGCTACAGATGTCGCTGTTAACTGTAACTGAATTTGTATTGAATTGATTTTCAATCGTTTTTTCTAAAATTACTCTAATTCAATATGTACTTTACAGGTATGTAAAGTACATATTGAATTAGATAGTACCGATATATATCGAGATATATTGAATTAGGTTAGATAGACTGTGAACTGGCAATCGGTACTATCTCAATATTGACAACTTTACAAAAAAATATTTATTGTGTAGTGTATGCGTAATAAAAATATTTAAAAACTATGTGTTTTTATTTAACAAATCAGATGCTGTATATGACGCAGAGAATTTTTTTCTTTATCCTGTAAATTTTTCTAAATTGAGATAGTACCGATTGCCAGTTCACAGTCGATATACCATTTTTTTAAATATATCAACTGAACTAAATAGAACACTAAATACTATACGATATATGTATGTATGTTATGCGATAACTCCGGTATTTGTGAACCGATAATCATGATTATTTTGTTGGAAAGAGGGTACCTCCATAGTGGTCCCATTACATTTTGAAGAAAATCATCCACTTCTAAGGGTGACTGATCACGCGTGAACATTCAATTTTATAAATAGCGCCTAAATTTTACTTAAGGAGCAATTATTTTAATGGTTGATTTTGCTATTCTCCAATTCAAGGCGTTTTTCTCACTCAATATACTTTGAGTAGTTAGAACCGATTTTTATTATCTCCTGTGTCAAGTCCTGTATAGTGGCGAACTAGGGGATATTATGAACCGTATTAGTACGGGAAAAAAATTGAATTCGAGGTAAGGTAATGTCGACTCTTAATTTGTCTCAAGTATTATATTATTGATACAAAGACAGAACAAACACAAGAAAAAAATCCTTCAGTCCAACTGGACTCGAACTAAGGGGTCTATTCCCGTTCTCCGTCCGACATCCATCCGAAACAATTACTTTATTTAACAATAATAATTAATTAAGTTAATACTCGACCACATTAATATATATATATATATATATATATATATATTAATGTGGTCGAAATAATATTATTTATTTATTAATAATATTATTTATTTTTTGAAAGTATTTGTTGTGTTCTTAATTTAATTTTCCTATATCACGACTATCAGTCGTGACTGTGTCGTGGACGTTTATTTATCGTTGAACGACTGTCGTGTCTAGCTATTCCCACTAATTCGTGACGACAATTTATCGGTTCACGACAACCGCCTTATCGTTTTCACGACAGAATCGTTTGAAGCTGCGATTATCTGTCGTCACATTTTTATCGTGACGTTTTATTTATCTTCGGACGACTGTCGTTCTTGCTCTTTCCATTGCCATGAGAGCCTGTCGTCGTTACGTTTAAAAAGTGAGCGACAGTTAATCGTGTTTATACTATATGTCGTGTCGTATATATACTATATGTATATATTTAAACTGCGCGACTATCTCAGCTATACATCGTTACGGTAAGTTCCGGCAAGTCGAACACATTAACTAATTTGAACTGTTTTTAAAAGAGAATTAAAAAAAAAAATTGTGTTCTATCTTGTCACTTAACTAGTGGACGGTAGATAATGGAAACGCGCCCCAAGTTGTACATTTATTAAAAAACAATTGTAATAGGTACAAACTTCAAAATGTTAAGCCGTTTTATAAATTGGATTGAAAAAGAACTTAATTCTTATTTTGCAGATATATCAGTACAGCTTCACTCACAACTATCACTTGCTTGCCGCTTCGACGCGCACCCTTCACCAATTATAACTTGGTACCACAACGGAACAGAGATAAGGGATAATCAAAATATTTATTTAACAGATAATCGTACTTTATTGAACATATTGCGGGTTGATTTCGATAATTTGGGGATATACGTTTGCGAAGCTAACAATGGGTATGAAAGAATGGAAATAAAGGGATTAATTAGTGTACATGGATTAGGTAAGTCTATAGTTATGTTGTTATTGTTTTTATAGTCATGTTTTATTAAATTTTTATTCTATACTTGTACATTATAATATAGGTATAGATTAAAAATGTAAGAAAAAATATATAGCAATATTTCATTCTAGATACATAAGAATAATAAATATTATTCAAATCAAGAAACCATTTTGTCCAAATAGTACATACATATTACTTGTTTGTACCGTGCAACCCTATCTTCCACCTGTTTGTTATTAATTTTTGCCAATATTAGATTTCTCATGTTTTCAGAAGTCCCAGTGATATCCAAAGAATCAGCAGAGATCGTGGCACAAAAAGGGAAACCTGTTGAAATGCCATGTAGGTGAGACTTTATACCAACTTCAAATAATTTTTATAGCCACTTGAAAAACCCAAGTTTTGCTACTTCAGGTCCTTAAGTATTAGAAATGAAATTTATTTTTCGAATCTAGATAGTATAAATTTGTTTTTTTTTTCAAACAAGTTAAAGGAAAACAGATATACTTAAGTATTAAGTAAGTATTTTCGTAACTATACTCATTTCTTTACTCATGTTATTATACGTAGATTATTTTTTCCTTTTTTTCACTGCACTTTAAAAATCAAAATGCACGAGGCAGTGCGCTTTTTAGGAATGTACATTGGGTAATAGATTTTCGAGCAGATATATATTTTAATCCATGATTATTATAATTACTTACTTACAGAATAACAAAAGGAAACCCAAAGCCAAAGATTACATGGCAATATAAAAGAGAAGATTTGGAATTTTCAACTCTATCTCAAGAAGTGAGAATTGAAAATTCAACTGAAAACGCAAAGATTGTCATAATGAACGCCAAAGTGAACCACAAAGGCATATATCGGTGTGTTGCTGAAAATGTTATTGGTCGAGATGTGTTTGAGTTTGAGTTGATTGTCCAGTGTAAGTATTACTATACATAAATACGATTACCGTTTGACTATATTAGTTAGTATAGCAGGCCAGGTTGTAACGGGGTGTGGGGGCTTTGTCACTTCACTTGTAATTTCCGGTGGCAAATTGTTTTATAAGCAGTTAAGTTTAAGATGCCTCGCAAATGCGTAACTTGTGTTGGATACAAACAACCAAAAACAAACAAATAAAAACATGATTTTTATGGTTTTCACCTAAAAACTGTTTTATAGTTAAGTATCACAATTTTTTCACTATTAGAGTATAAAACTAATCTTGAAGTCATGTCTGTGATGAATTTTGTTTAAAAGAAATTTTAAATCTCTGGAATGTGTTTGGAAACCAATACAAAAATTACCAGTAACTAATTATTTATAAAACTGTGTCATATGGTTTAAGACATTTATTCTCACTAACAATTAAACAATTCACTTACATGAGAACACAAAGAAACTTAATATAAATATTTTTAGAAAACGTACTTAGGGACGGTAGTCAGCTAAAAAATTATAAAATTTTACCATCGTACAATTTTACTGACAGACAACACATTCTCAGGTGCAAATGGCTAGCACCACCACAGATGTACTTCCAAACCACGCCCGCAAGCTATACTAGATGTGACATACATATATTAATATAGTTTCCGTATTAGAGTTTTATTTTTAACAAAAATGAAAATTTATTTGTTTTATATGTATATATGTTTACTTATTTATTTATTTTTTACTAGTAAAAGGTGTTTTAATGATTTTTATTATTATTTATTTATTTTTTTATTTATTTATTTTTTTATTTTTTATTTATTATATAGGTATTTTTTTTTTTTAATCTATTTGTTTCATAATGTATTTAATAATACATTATATAATAATAATTTATTATTCAGTACTTTTTCGTATTTATTAGAAGAGTAAATTTAAGTTTAAATTTTGTTACTCAATATTCGAAATTACGTAGTATTTTAAAAGTTTTTTGAATGTAATTAGTGATTGTGTTTCTTTTATATCATTGGGAAGTTTATTATATAGTTGCGCTCCCTCAAATAAAATATTCTTTTTTCCATAATTTGTTCTTGATGGCCGCAGGACTAAATTATTTGCATTTCTTAATTGAATTTTTTGTATTTGTTTCTTTTTTGTGAAGGCTATTTGTGTATGTATATTTTTAGTTAATATTTTACGTATCAATAAACAAGTATAGTCCATGTAGGTTTGGGTAACATTTAAAATTTTTGTATTTTTATATATATTCTTAGTAGGCGTACGGTAGTTATATCTAAACAGGACTTTTATTAGTTTGTTTTGTGCTCTTTGTATTGGGTTTAAGTTTGATTTTGCTGCTGAGCCCCAGATCTCAATCAAATAGTCAATGTGTGGTTTAATTAAAGGATTGTATACGAAGTAACACACTCTGCGTGGAAGACATCGAGTGATACCTCTTAAGGCTCCAGTAAGAGAGGATAGTTTAGATATTATTTTTTCAATGTGAGGCTTCCACGTCAGTTTGCTGTCAACAATGAGCCCCAAGTATTTTTCACTATCGATTCTATTTATTTTTAGGTTATTTAAAGTTAAGGGTTCGTAATCGGAGATTTTTTTGTTTTTTGCTTTGAAAATAATATAATTTGTTTTAGCAACATTAACAGTTAGAAGGTTATACTGGAACCACTCATTAAGTAATTTAAGATCATTTTGCGCATCAGCAGCAATAGTTTCTATTGAACTTCCAAAGTAAAACAAACATGTGTCATCAGCATATAGAGTGACGTCACCTTTAAGATCAATTTCATGTAGATTATTTATATATATCAAAAATAATAAAGGTCCCATAATAGACCCTTGGGGTACGCCGTGACTAATAATTTTAGGTTGACTTTGTTGGTTTCCTATCCTTAAGACCCGTTTACGATTCGATAGGTAGGATTGTAGTATATTATACGCTGTTCCAGTTATGCCAGCTTTATTGAGTTTTTCCAATAATATGTCGTGACTCACGGTATCGAAGGCCTTTTTTAGGTCTATGAATATACCTAATGCTATATTTTTCTTATCCAGATTACATTTTAGCTTAGTTATAAGATCCATTGTTGGTGAGAGAGTGTTCGATTTCGGTCTGAAGCCATACTGTTTACTGTACATGAAATTAATAGAGTTTAAATATTTTTCAAATCTATTGTATAGAATCTTTTCAAAAATTTTAGACAGAATAGGAAGAACCGATATTGGACGATAGTTTCCAGGATCAGTTCTATTTCCTGACTTGAAAATAGAGTGACTTTTGCAAGTTTTAGGCTATCAGGAAATATTCCGAGTTCTAAGCATTTATTTATGCATGTTGTCAAATCTTCAGCGAGCACTTTTTTAACACATTTAATAGCTTTGGTACTAATACCATCAACACCTGAGGACGTATTACTATTCAATTTATTGCACATTTTAAGAACTTCCTCTGTGGTTGTTGGTGAAAGTTGTGATAGTGCCTGTGAGTGGTATTCAGTTGACAGGCTTGTTCTCGTATGATACTTCTTTGGTATTTCCTTTGCTAAAACCTTTCCTATATTTGAGAAATAATCATAAAAACATTCGCAGATTTCTTTTTCGTCAGTAATTATATCTGTACCTCTCAGCAATTTCGCTGGAGCAGTGGACTCTTTAACTTTGTTGCGAGAGAGGTTATTTATAAGTGACCACATTTTATTGGGTTTGTTTTTACAGTCTTGGAATGCTTTGTAATAGTATTCTCCTTTTAATTTTCGTATCATATTGACTACACTTTTCTTTTTCGTTACGTAATCTTCTTCTATCTTTTTGTTTTTTGGATTTTGTTTGTGATTTTGGTACATTTCATTTCTACTCTTTATTGCATCTAAAATTTCTTTCTTTATCCAATCTTGTTTCGGAGGATTAATTTTTTTGGTCTTAATCGTTTTGCTTGCGTTAATACTGTAAATTAAATTTTGTTCTAGAGTATTGTATTCACAGTCTTTGTTTTTAGTTGTATCACACGTATTATAAAGTTTTTCGTAGTCTATTGCATCGTACTTCACTGTCTTTATCGGTTCTGCTTTGTAATTCTTTACTTCGAAATAAATCTGTTTGTGATCTGACATACTTGAATCTACAATGGCCATATGAAATCGATTTTGTTTTAGATTTGAACATACGTGATCTAATATAGTACTGGTACTTTCTGTTTCGCGGGTACTGTAGTGTCTGTCAATTTTGTTGATTATGTAGTAACCACACTCTCTAATTATCTTCTTATAATTTTGAACCGTTTTGTCCGAACTAAGTAAATCGTAATTAATATCTCCAAATATTATAGCTCTCTTCCTTTTTTCTAACTGCGTCGAATAACAGTCTAGAAAATCATTGCTATTTGTTCTCCCAGGTTTGTAGATTGCACCTATGTCTAAGTCAAATTTATTTATGTGTATCCACAGATAGTGATTTTCATTTACAGATTGTTCTTCGATTAAGTTATGTGTAAGACTGTTGTGTGCAAATATTGAGACGCCTCCTCCCTTGGTATTTTGTCTGTAGTTGTAGTAATGATTGTATCCTGGTAAGTACAGTCTCTTGCCTTCATCATCAGAACTTATCCCTGTTTCGGACAGTATTATAATATGAATAATGTTTTTAAAAGATTGGATTATACATGTTAGTTCATCAAGCTTACCAGGTTTGACAATACTTCGTGCGTTGGCATATAGACATTTAAGGGACTTTTTGTTCGATGCTATATTACTGTAATCACTAATTACTTCGTATGAGTTGCAGCTATAAGTTTTGTTGTTGATGTGAGTATTCGGAGCATTCAGAAATTGGAGTTTTTTGGAATGGCAGTAACTATTTTAGGCACACCCTTAACATATTTTATACGAAGATTTTCTTCACCACTACTTGTGCGATTATCAAGTTCCTCTTTAAGCACTTTCATATACGCTTGTTGTTGAGGCGTTTGGTCTGAGAAGATCTTTATGTTATTAAGTTTTATTATATTTTTGTTCTTTAGTATATGCAGAGCCGTTTCTTGAGAAGTGAAGCACACCTTTAATAGTCTATTTTTTTCTGGTTGATACTTTCCTAGGCGGATTATTCTTTCCGGTTCAGGACAGTCTGTATAAATTTGTCTTATTATACTAAGGACTTTAGACTTGTCCTGTTCTCGTCTAATCTTAGGCTCTGTGGAGACTGGTTCAGTTATGTCGGATATAACAATGTTTTTGCATCTTAAGTTACGTTCGTTAAGTTCAATAACTATTTCTTCCTGTGCTTGAAGAACAGTGGACGATGAAGCTATATTAATTTGATTAAGTTTAGCTTGTATCGATTCCATTTTTTTTCTGTGGTATTTCTAAAAATCTGCATACTTGTTATTTCTTTCTTCAGATTGTGCTGTTCAGAAGTTAGTTTTTCTGTCGTTGGTTTTATATTGTTTACTTGTTCCTTTATAACTGATATATCTTTATGTAAGTTATTAAAATTCTCAATTTGCATGTTATTATTCGACGTAAGGCATGCCATTAATTCGTCCCTAATCCCTAATTATATTTTGATTTGAAGGGAGAGATTGCAAACATTTCTAGTTCTGGCAGAAATTCTAGCTCAAAATCGGACATCGGCGCTGCATGACATATCGACTGGCTACCGGTACTATCTCAAATTTGGCAACTTTACAGGATGAAGAAAAAAAATGTTTGCGTCATTTATATAGCACCTGATTTATTAAATAAAAATACGTAATGTACATACATACATTTGTAATAAAAACATTTAAAACTACGTATTTTATTTAATAAACCAAGTGCTATATAAATGACGCAAACAATTTTTTTTCATCCTGTAAAATTGTCGAAATTGAGATAGTACCGATGTCCAGTTCACAGTCGATATGTACAAACTATAAAATAAAATTTTACAATTTTTTTTTTATTTACCATTCCTACCTACTATCCTATACCTACTATCTGTCAGATACCCACTATCTGGCAGAAAGTACTAGTAGGTATCAAAAACTTGATTATTTATTCATAAATTTTACATATCATATTGTAAACTTTTTAATAATTGGCCAGATAAGTATTACTTCCACGTAACCCAATTACTTATTTATCTACCTATTTAAATTCTAATTACGCGTGCAGGCCGTGGGGAAAACTAGCCTAAATAATAAAGTAATAACATTTTTGGTCTCTTGACCAAAAACGTTCTTTTCCTCTGTCAACATTGGTTGCTAAAGAACGTTTTGTTATTAAACAAACACACAAAAAACATGTTGAATTTGGCTAGAGCATGGGTTCCTAAACTTTTTGGCTCACCGCCTTAGGCAAGATAAAAAAAATTCAACGCCCACCACCACAAAAAATAATTGAAAACATGTATTTTTCGTTCTTAATTTTTGGAAATAAATAAAAGTCACAAGGTGCCAAGTCGGGACTGTACGCGGGATGGCTCATAAGGTCAACGTTGTACACCCTCAAAAATTCATTTGCCTGTCTGGCCGTGTGAGAACTGGCCTTATCGTGGTGCAAGATGATACGAAATTTACGGTTATTTTTACGGAGTTTGTCAATAACTGCCGGCAAACAAATGGTCGTGTACCAATCACTATTCACGGTACAACGATTCTCCAAAGCAACAGTGGCCTCGTGTCCAGTATTATTAAAAAAAGAAGCAATCATCCGCATTAAGGCACTTTGCACTCGCGCCAGTTTGGTTGGCGCACAGCATCGATGTTTTTGTTGTTCACAGCAGTGGATGGGCGACCATCACGAAAATCGTCACTGAGATTCACACGACAGCGTTTGAATTCTGCAAACCAGCTATAAATAGTTGTCTTGCATGGTGCTTCATCGCCAAAAGCAGTTTGAAGCCGAACGAAACTCCGCTGAGCTGTTAAATTACACTTATTGTCGTAGAAAATCATACCACGAAAATTTTCACGAGTTAAATCCGTGGTTATGTAGACAACCAATTTCTAAAATGATGCCACAATGCAAAAACAACTGACAGTCAGATGGAACAAACTGTATTCTACAGCCAAAGAGATCCATTTTGAAATGTTGTAATTACTTTTTAAATATTGTTTATGTAAGTGGCCAGTTCCGGAAACTTATAGTGCGCTCTATGTATGTAGTGTAGTTTATATAGATCATTCAGGTTTTATTTTTCAAATGTGGTAGACGTCACGCACACATCCTGAACAGTATCAATGCTCAATAATTGCTTCCGAGGACCCTAGAAATCTTCCGCATCCACTGGGGAGGGCGATACGGATCACTTTGGGAAGGTATGGCCCAAAGTATAGAAGCCAATATTCTATTTCCATACAAGATCAATAAGCTTCCGGGGCTTAACCTGGCGCTTTGTTAATGCCGGATTTTAATAGGGTTAAATTAACGCCCGAAATCGAGTGGAAAAACTATTTACAATTAAATATTTGTAAATCGAGTTTTGTTCAAGTGGAATGATATTATTGCAGGATGTTTATGGCTTTTGCATATTTCGTCTATTGAATCGATTCTGTCGAAAGTCGTATTGAAATTAGTCTATACAAAAACTATTAATGTATGCACTTGAATCGATTTATCTCAATATCAGAAGAGCTGAGAACACTCTCAAACATCGTGTGTGCGTTCTTGCTTGATAATCTGATGCAGCACTTCCAACTCCACTACAGGTATCCGAATAAATTTTTAAACAGCTGTATCCTCCAACCGCAACTCATTTACAAGAGTTGAACCGGCTTCCAAGTCAATTCGACGATTCACCTATTTCCTTACCCAACATTTCGCGAAGCCATTTAGAAAAATAAAAACGATTCGTGCGATCGAGACACACACAGCAGACTGCGTTGGCTCTAGTGGGCGTTTGTTACCTATTATTGCAAATAACGACTTACGACCTTTTGGTTTTATATTTAAATTTCAGTCAATGTGCTGCCATGTAGCGGTTAATAGCTGAACGACGACGAATTCGAGATGTTTATTACAAATAAAAAATAATACAAAAACATTGTTTTAATGCAATATATAAACTACAACGTTTTCCCGTACTTTGCGTAATTACAGATCCGCCAGAGCTGTCACTCCAAACATCACATGACGACAGTCCCGTTGAAATAAAAGCCGGTAATAAAGCACAATTTTCATGTAAAGCTGAAGGCAATCCTCCTCCCGTAGTGGTGTGGATGAAAGATAAACAGCCTATTGGCTATTCAGAAAACGTGTGAGTATTCGAATTATTTTCTTAAGGGCAGGAATTCTTTTAAATACCTCTTAGAATATAGTTCAAATGCAGCGTTAGGAGGTCACTGTTAAACCGGTCAGAAAAAGCTTTATGTCCATGCAATAAGATCGAAAAAGACGTGCGTTTCGCTTTAGCTCGGTCGTCGCGTGTGCCTGTCATTTTGCCAGCACCTTTATACTCTTTAAAATCGTAACGCAGTGTTGCCATGAACCAGTAACTGAAGAGGACTGCTAATCTCCATACGACAGATCATAGCTATGAAAAATGTCAAAATCCCGTCTTATTTCTAGATGGCGCTGATCAGTAGCCTGGCAGTAGTTTATATGATGTAAATGGCCGTGGATATCAATTAATTCCTCTTTATTATGCAATATAAGAAGTCCATTTTTTTCCTTGTAATTAATATTCAAATATTGATCATGAGCTAAAATTATTTTCTGAACATTGACAAATCGACTCATCCGAAGAACAGAGTCCGATGTGATTATATAGCGAAAAGAGAATAAGTACGTTACAGAATAATTTCATTATTCAAACTAAGGCCTACGTAAAGGTGTTTTGAGAATTTATATATCTTGTTTCGTTTCGGAAATTATAAAATTGAACAATAGTCGATCTGACATTCACAGCGAAGAAGAACGAACGAAATGTACTATGTCCTGAGAATAAGTAGCCTTGCACATAGACCTTTGTTCTACGGATGTGTCGAAATATGCGTGTCAATAGATGGCATTGTAACAACCGTATAATTTATAAATTACCGCTCGCCTGGTGGAAAGCGACACGCCTGTCCGTAACAGTAGCAGTGCCACTCAGTGCTTTAAATCACAAAGATCTAAGGGTCACTGCCACTGCGCTCGTCAGTCACCCTGAGATGTTAGTTTACAAGTCCCATGTGCCTGTAATTTCACCAGCATCCAGAAGTAAGTAGTGGCAGTACTTCCCTGACGAACAAAAATTCCTCTTTACTATCAAATATAAGAAGTTACCTTTTTCCTTGTAATATTATTCAAACATTGATCATACCTAAGCTAAAATTATTTTGAATTTTGACAAATATTCGTGTCAATAGGTGGCAGTGGGTGTGTGTGTGTGGCAAGTAATTTAATAATTACACTTCCTAATATGGGTAGATGGCGCTAATCCTAAATAAAATAAAAGGATAGTCATGAATAGCCAGATGACCCTTATTCCACTATCTAAAAATCTGTGGAATAATCGCAATGTAGTTCATTTGTTTGTTATAATTAGAAATTAGAGTAACTTTGATTAACCGCTGTAAACCGTTGTTCAAAAAACTAAGTATACTACCTTTGCCATGCATGTACATTAGGGATGTCAGTGTATTTGTCAAAACTTATCCTTAATATTTAAAAACACGTGTTGAAATTAATCAAAGGCAGCCTAAAGCAGAAGCTATGAATCTTTTGTACCAGTCTCGTTGATATAAAGTAATTTATGACAAAAACTGCTGCAACATGTGTAATAATTATTTTCAACAATTTGCCAAATAATAATAATAATAATAATAATAATAACGCTCACACTCAACATAGCCCCGCACTAGGGAAACCCTGTGTCGCGGGTGCCATGGACACACACATAGACAACCACAAATTACACCCAAACTCACGAGCGAAATAAATGTAGGCCATACAAATATTTAATTTGATGAATTAAATGAAATTAAATTGTCGCAAGGACATACTTTTTAATAAAAATTGACAAAATGGCTTTTGACACATTGCTTCCATAGTAATAAAGAATAATTAGAATTTCCAAATACGAATTTACAATTAATTTGAAGTGCAATTAACAGTAGAAACCGAACAGAAAGTAATGTTTGTACATCTGCTTGCAGGTTGAATACAATGTACTTAATTTTATTTATGACCTTTATCACAACTGTATTCTGGCAAATAAACGTATTTTATTCTATTCCATTCTATTCTATAAACTGCAGCTTGTCAAAGTAAAACAAATTTGGTACTCGTCGCGACATCTGGTGTACTAATGGGTACCAATATCCGATTCCGACTACGCCGTCTAGTATTGCGATTAGCAATCCTCTTGAGTGATCGGTCCATGGTAATCCACACATTCCTGCTTGCAAAAATAGAACGATGGCAGTACTTCCTTGGACGTATTCATTCAAAGAAGCTAGAGTAGCAGTAGACTGCTACTAAATATAGAGACATACTGTCAATATTTTTCTAAATTGTGCCCAAGGCAGCTTCCCACTTTGACGTGACGACAGATAGTCGTACAGTGTAAAGTGTCGTGGCTTGCATATTTAAATAGAGTTGTTCACATACAGCACAAGTCGATTAAAAGTCGTTCATGCCTTTTTTTGAAGTTATGACAACAGACTGTTAAGACAATGGGAAGCGCTAGAACGACAGTCGTCAGACGATAAATAAAACATCACAATAAAAATATGACGACAGATAATCGCAGCTACTATCCTCATCACGTTTTATTTAACGTTGTCTCGTGCATAGGAACGTAGAGCCGACTACTGTGCATCAAACAATTCTGTCGTCGCCGATAAATTGTCGTCACGATCCAGTGGGAACAGCTAGACATGACAGTCGTCGTTCAACGATAAAAAAAACCACGACGTAGTTACGACAGACAGTCGAGATATGGGAACGGGCTAGTAAGCGACAGTCCAATAATAAATAAAACGTTACAACATAATAGGAATGCTTACGTCATGTACGAACGGCAGCATATCAAGCGGATCTTGTTCCGTTTCTCTGCAGGAGATATTTGAACAAAAGTGTATAAGTTTGGCGTGCTGTTGACTATACATGTGGGATCAAACAGTGCAGTAAAACTCGCTTTCTGAAAGAAACAACTTTAATTTTGCAATTTCCTTCTTCCTTAAACTTAGCACACGTCTTTACACTTTTTTCGTCCTCCGTGGTTCACCTTTGTCTCTCTTTTCATCTTCTATCTCGCTCACACATCCATACATCACAAGCTTAGTTCCCTCTCTTTCACTCTCGCTGCGTTCCGTTCCCACAAACATATCATTTAAACTGCCTAACAAAGCGATTCTAAAATTGTCTGACACGGTAATGATTTATTTTTGTTTTTCAGGTATTTAACCAAAAACAGCGAATTAGTAATAGAGAAGACGACACAGGATGATTCGGGGTTGTTTACGTGCAATGTTACGAGCTCAATAGGCTTTGTGCAAAAGAATTTCACCTTGGTTGTGTATGGTATGTTATTTTGCAAGGTACATGGGACGAACGGTGTACAGATAGAACTTCTTCTATTCAACATTCCCTACATTTTTTTTATTTTGAACTAAATTGTTTTGACTAAACTACCTTAACTGTCAAAAATCTTACGTGTATTTTTTTACAGATCCCCCTTCAATAACTACATTTTTTTATACAACGTATTAACTAAATTGTTTGAACTAAATTGTTTTGACTAAACTATCTTAGCTGTTAAAAATCTTACGTGTATTTTTTTACAGAACCCCCTTCAATAACTCCATCGGATATAGGACCTGAATTAGAAACATTAGAAGGCCAGCTAGTGGAGCTGCCTTGTGCGGTTAAGGGTCAACCAACACCTGACATCGTGTGGTTGCAGAATGGAGAAATTATTAGTGAAGGCAGAAAATTCATTGATAATTTTGGATTACGGTATGTGTAAAGGGTGCAATTCAGTACGTTCGTCGTCTCTGCCTACCCCATTAGGAGACGGGTGTCATGTCATTGTTACGTATTTCGATTTTTTAAATTTCTAGAATAAAGATTCACCAGCACCTTAAAATGTTTATGGAACATCCAAAGTTTATTCACAGATACAGATTCTCATTCTTATGAAATCTTACATTTTTAAGGCCTACATTTATTTGTCTCGTGAGTTTGAGTGTAGTTTGTGGTTGTCTATGTGTGTGTCCATGGCGCCCGCGACTCAGGGTTACCCTAGTATGGGGCTATGTTGAGTGAGTGCGTTATTACTATTATTAATTAGGTACAACAACAGGGGTTGTATAATAAATGAACAATTGAATTTTGCACCTTTATTACGGGTATTTTTGAGTTTCAACAATGGTAGCACTGGGGGCAGTGTTGGGTAGGACATGAAATTAAAATGAGTTTGAGGGAGTACCTTATTTGAAAAAATGAAGCGGTACCATGTCCTACTTAAAATGAAGTGAGGTAGTGGTAAGAATGTTTGCACCTACGGCAATGACTCAACAAACAGGGAATATTAAGCATATTTTCATAACTTGATGGTATCAATCAATTTTAAGTGTTATGACATAGTATAAATAAACGTAAGTTTGATTTAGTACTACGGTAACATGATCATATGATGTAAAATCAGCTAAAAAGCGGGCAGTGCAGGACCCATAATTGTTGCATTTCTTAAATTCGAAGCAGTGTGACATGAAGCTGTGACATGAGGTGGGATATTTTAGTGACATGAGGTGTTGTGACAAACTAATCAAGCGAGTGGTACAAATGAATTGCCACGTGCATGAGTATCTCAACACTACCGTTCTGAACGAGCTCATTCTTCGGCCGAACGTCGAACGATCAACAACCCCTGAGGATGCCTCGTGCAAAGGCGAAACACGTGGCTGATATATTCTTGGTGGTGGTTTGTGACTGTAGTTGCGCTTGTGTTTTTTATTTTATCAATTGTATACGGGGGGGGAGGGTGGGAAAAGAAACTGCGTGAAAAAAAAATTCAACACAAGCGCAGCTTGAAGGTTCGCAGAGTAGCAAATTAATTTACTTCCATTTTTTATCCAACTCTAGGTGTTTTTTTTTGTTTATCTTACCCTTGTATTAATTATTAATTATTTTGTTGAAACGACACGCAAGTATATAAAAGAGTTACACTTTCCCCGCTCTATATAGAAGAATACATGGTAGTAGATGTCAAATACGGTTGAGTAGGTTAGTTTATGTCAGTGTTGTGTTTCTATCAATGGGTAGATTAACGTCGTAAATACAAAAATGTCTGTTTTCTTTT